CCAACTTTGTTCTTATTTTTCAAGATTGTCCTGGCTATTCTGGGTCCCTTGAAATTCCCCATGAAGTTTAGGATGAGTTTTTCCCATTTCCCATTTAAAAATACCATGAGCAGGGGCGTCTGGGTAGCTCAGTCAGTTAAGCGTCTGCCTTCAGCAGGGAGCCTGATTCTCCCTCTCCCTCTGCTATTCCCACCGCTTGTGCTCTCTCGCTCTCTATTTCTGTCAAATAAATACATAAAATATTTTAAAAAATAAAAATTAAAAATACCATTAGGATTTTGATAGAGATGGCTTTAAATCTGCATTTGGCCTTGGGTAGTATTGTCATCTGAACTATATTAAGCCTCCTAACCCATGAACACAATTCCATCAATATTTTAAGATCTCCTGCATTAACCTTTTAATAGGGAATTCTTAAAAGTGGGAAAGGTAGCCAAACTCGAAGACTTGAATCCCTCTTTTCCTCTTGGTCACATTCGAGGTCAAGGGGAAAGACCCTTCTCTTCCTTTCTTTCTTCCTTTCTTTCTTTCAAGATTTTATTTATTTACTTACTTACTTATTTTCGCAGTGTGGGTTGGGGAGAGGCAGAAGGAAAAGGAGAGAGAGAGAACCTCAAGCAGACTCAAAGTCAAGCGCTAAGCCCAATGTGGGGATCCCATGACCCTGAGGTCATGACCTGAGTCAAAATCAAGAGTTGGACACTCAACTGACTGAGCCACCCAGGCGCCCTGCAAGGCCCATTTATCTCTCTGATATACACCATAGAATGATTTCAGAAATTCCTCAGAGGGTTAATTCAGTAATCATCTGCCCAGTGTCCCTGTGCTTTTTTTAAGGGCTGTTGGTTGCCTTTCCCTTCTCTGCTCCTAGTGAGTATGCGGAAATAACAGATTGCTTAAATATGCCTTATTGTCTTGATCATGGTTCCAAAGAAGAGGGAACCTACCTCTTCCCCTAACATTTTCCAGGGCTTTAAGCATACCTCATTGCCTTTTAGGGCCTGTAATTCTCTCGATGACCACAAGATGGCAGCAAAGAGCAAAGGCTGCTGGAGTTGATGATCGCAGGAGACAGGAGGGGAAGGAGGGAGGAACGGGGGTGAGAGTGTGAGCCCGACAGACACAGCTCAGTGCGGATGGCACCCCCGGAGTCGCACCCTCAGCAGGCCTGCGATACGGATCGGGAGTGTGAAACTGCCCAGTGTAAGTGGGCTGACACGCTCACTTGCGTGAGATCACGCGGACAATTTTTAGAAAACCGGTGTTTTCCTCTTACAGCGAGAATGGTGGGAGCGAGGAGAGATCAGGGATAGCAAGGTGCTCTCTCTCCTCCTCCCTCTCTGTCCCCTCCCTGGCATTGAGGGCAAAGGAAGAAACCTTCTCCTGCGTGACTTGCAGCATCTAGAGGCGGCCTGCGTTCCCGGACTCGGGACCCTCTGCATCTCCAAGCCAGCCACAGCCACTCACGTCCTCCTGCATCTTCAACAGCGGAATCTCTCGCCTTTGGGTGGGAAAGGCTCTGGGCTTTTAAGGGTTCATGGGATTTGACTGGGCCGATGTGAATAGCCAGATTCCTCTCCCGCTCTCAAGACCATTTACTTATTCCCACCTGCAGAGTCCCTGGTAACATATCCACAGGCTCCAGGGACCAGGGCATGGACATCTTTGGGGGGGGGGCATTATTCTGTCTGCCACACTCCTGGCTTCCCCAGGCCTCCTGTGGGTTTAGTGGCATTTCCTCTCCCGCTGTTGGAGCTCACAGTGGCACCTTCTTCACCGTGGCCAAGCCTTGGGGAAGGATCCCTTTTCCTGCCCCCATAACCCTTATCCTATATACACACTTAACAGCAACTGAGCCTTTCCCCTTCCCCTGGTGATGACTTCCTGCTCCATCAACTGGAGCCTTGTCCCTTAGAACACGAGAGCTTCTCCCTTGCAATTCCCAGCCTGGTCCCCCAACAAAGGGAAAGTCAAGAGAAAAGCCTTGGTGTCGGCGCATATAGGAGGAATGCCATCAGACGTGCACATACCCGGCACGTGTGAGCCCAGATGAAACTGACTTGTTCTATCTCTCAGCTGCGCTGGGTTACTGAGTCCTCACATTCTGTTCCCTGTGCTCCCCTCCAGGTCTACACCCCACTCCGGGCAGCCCCAGGAAAGACAGAGAGTGGATTTTCTGCATCTTTTCCTTGTGTGAGATCCATCCCGGGCGCTGATGTCAAGAAACAGAAGCAGAGTGGTTCCGTTTTTCACCTGCTCCGACTTGACCAAACTTGGCTAGAGAAGCCTCAGTTGGGAGCAGGGGAGCCCCTCCAGCAGACAGGCTCCAGAAGATCCTTTGATCAGCAAATTCTCCCCATTGATGACCTCATCTAAGGTCTCCTCCTCAAACTCTTCCCAAACTCCTCTGGGCTGCTGGCCACTTGCCACATGTAGCCCTGCTTCTAATCACTGCTTACTTCCTTTGGGGTAAGTGGCTGCCTTGTTGCCAGGGTAACTGAGAGTGGCCAATGGGCCTGAGACCTTGACCTTTAGCTCTGCCTAACTGGACTCTTGTATGGTCTTGGCTCCTGTCCCTTTCACACACAGTTCCTCTCCTGGACTTTTACTCTGACGTTCTCCCCTATGAAGTGTGTCTGGCCTCCACATTTATTCTGGGATTTGCTAACTCAATTCCTTTTTGTTCTTATGGTCATTTTTTTTTTTTAACCTGAAAAACATTTAATGGATGGTGCTGTGTGCTCGAAACTGCCTCCCACCTGCAGGCACAGCCATGTCCCTCCCCTCCTGATGCCCTGATCCCACGGAGGGCTTGTGGAGTGGCGGTCTGCCCACTTCCGTTACAGAGCGCCCCCTGCCGGTATCTCCTCCTGGGGTCCCACCCTTCCGTAGTCTGCCTCATGGTTCGTTTCAGCGAAGGTTGTCGAACGGCGATGTTTCTCATTTTCACCCTTTCAACAAATATCAAGTCGAATCCTTTTGTAAAAAAGATGTTTTTCCTTATTAGTTATAGCTGTCTGTTTATCCTGAAATACAGTTTGTACAGGAAAGGATGGGCTTAGTTATACCCTATTCATTGCCGGGACTTGCTGAACTTCTGAGAAAAGGGTTGGTGTTCTCATGCGTTCCAATGACAGCCAGTGGCGTGTTTCTTAATCACTGCGGACGCGCTCTTATCTTTGCTCTGAATGAACTTAAATGTCTGGCAAATGCTGAGAAGACAGTGGCAGGAAAGGCCCAGAATGGTTCCTTCCTTCCTTTGGGACATAAGTTCTGAGCTGCTTACTTTCTCTCTTGTTCCAAGTCTTAGCCCACTACACCCATCCCACTGACCACGCAGCTATACACAGTTGCTCATTTTTAGTGAAGGGGTGCAGGTGATGCACCTCTAGGTAAGTCATAAGCCCTATGAGGCTGGGGCAGTGTCTTATGGCCTTACGGTCTCCTTCTATGTCTCTAGTGTGAGTTGGGGCACCTGGAAGGGTCTGGCATCTCTTTGTGGGCTGAGATGACGTGAAAGCAGAGTGGTCATTCTTTCTTCGAGGGCTCTATCCTTTGCCCTTGCTCTGGATGAGAGCAGTGATGCGTTCCAACCCCAGCCCATTGGCACGACCCCAGCTGGGGGTCCTACCGGTCACTCCAACCCCGACGTTACCTGGAGGCCGTGCAGGGCTCACAGTGAAAGGGCGAGGTCCTCCTCAGATGCCAGCTGCGAGTGGGGGGCTCAGACTACTTGGACCCCCTGCCCCCCGACTTGGCTACAAATTCAGGGGTTTCCATGGCCTCCCTTTCAGTTCAATAACCTGCTGGAATGACTCACAGTGCTCAGAAAAATGCCGTACTTACCACCACCATTCTGTTGTACAGGATGTAAATGCACAAGAAAATGAGAAGATACACAGGACGGGAGGGCTGGAAGGGTCCGGAGCACCGGAGGCCCTTCCCCCTGGAGTTAGGATTCATCATCTCCACAACACACAGCTCTGTTCACCATCCAGGAAGCATTCCAAGCCTTGCTGTCCAGAGTCTTTATTGGAGTTTCATTACAAAGGCATGATTAATTAAACCATTAGCCAGATGTTTGAATTCAGTCTGCTCTTGGGAGGTTGGGGGGATGGGGCTGAAAGTTTCTACCCTCTCATCACATGCCTGGCATCGCTGGCGTGGCCAGTCCCTCCTTGGAAACTCTCACCAAAGGCTCTAAACCCCATTTGCGTAAGCTCAGGGATGGCTGGACGAGGCTCCTTGGGGGTGGAAAAGACTCTCCTATCAGGAAATTCCCTGGGTTCTGAGGCTCTGGGCTAGGAGCTGGGGACAGAGACTGGATATCCTCTTCATTCTGTGACGGTTGGTGTAGTGGCATAATGGGGGGGTAGTAAAGCTTGAAGTGGATATTTGAGGTTAAAACACGTAGACATCCAGGTATCTCTGAAGCTAAAGCCAGAGCATATAAGCCTTGAGATCTGGCCAGAAGGCACTCATCGTGGTGGGCGGGGGGAGGTAGGCTCAGGAGGAAAAGACAATAGGCTATTATGCATGTGAGGCAACAGTTATAATCCAAGCTTCTGGAAAGTTTTAAGGGCTAAGAAGACATCGGCTTGCTACTTGCTGGGGAGACCTTTGGCTCAGCAGGTGTAGACAGGGATCGGTGTGCGGAGGGAAATAGGCAGGAGGTGGGCAATGACGGAGGAGGGTGAGAGCAAGATCATGGAATTATAGGATCCCAGGGTCAGGAAAAGGGCTTCCCTCTGGGACTACAGAGAAATTGCGCTGCTAAGGCTTGAAGGAAAAGCAAGGAGCTAAGTGGTAAACACCCCATGGTTGACAAAATGATGGAGCCCGTGAAGCTGGGTGAGCGCGGGTGTGTATGGGAAGGTGGGTCACGTGCAGAGCGAGAGTCCAGTGGGGTGATGCTGGGAAGGTCTTGGCGGTCTTGGTTTCGAGAGGAGTCAAAGAAGCGAGAGGAGGAATGGAGGAGAGTGGATCTGGCGGTGACAGCAAGCGGATTCTTTAAGAAGCAGCTGCTGGACGACCCCCAGACGTCTCTTCTAGAATGACCATTCCAGGGTTCTAGGACTTCTGACTGCGAACATCTCATTGACCAGAGGCTGAATCCCCATGCCACAGCTGCCTGGTGTCTGCACTATCTGGAGAGAAAGAAATGTATGGGCCGGAAGAAGACGGATCCCACACACTTAACACCACTGGTTCAAAGAGTCAGAGGAAAAGAAGCAGGGAGTGTATCCGAGAGGGTTAGTAGGACCGAGAACAACTTTTCAGGACGGGTTCTAGTGCAGATCTGGATAACCAAAGCGGACCCTAGGGTCGAGCGGGTCTTCTCAAGCTGGGTCCTTACCCGGGGGCCGTTTTGCTCCCTACAGGACAAAAGACCATGTCTTGAGACATTTTTAATAGTCACGACCGGGTAGCGTCTAGAGGGTAGAGATTTGGGCGGCTGCTCAACACCCTACCATGTACGGGAGGGCCCCCCACCCCCAGAAAACAAAGAATTATCCAGCCCAAATGTCAGCAGCTGCTGAGGCTGAGAAAACCTGCTTGGAAAAACGTCGAGAAAGAACCTGGTGGGACAACCACTGTACCCGGTGGCAGGTGTCCTGGTAGGAGGTGGAGCTTTGAATGGGCGTGACTGACACTCTTAGGAAAAGGAGCCAACCTCCATCCACAGTGAAGACCCCCGCCCCACATACCGCGTCCTTTTGGAGTCACTTTGAAGTTACGGGGAAACTCATGACCATCCCAGGCAATGAAACCTAAGAGAATTTGCTGGATGAGGCTTCTAGGAAGACACCCCGGGTACGTATCTTCCCCGCCCCCGCCCGCTGTTCTTCCTGTTGGGACCCGACCTGCCGCCTGGCGATGCAGTGCGATCAGACGAAAATCAGTGGCTAAGGAAGGTGCAGCCAGAAAAAGCTGGTGATGCCCCCGGGGACATTTGGTGGTGTCTGCCGCTATTTCTGGTGGCCACGATGGCGGGTGCTGCTCCCGGCCTCCAGGGGATAGAGAACAGGGATGCCCTTAGCATCCGACAACCCCCTGTACAAAGAACTAGCCGACCCCCACACACCAACCAGTGGAGAAAACCTGCTCAGAGAACTGTTGCACGAGTCCTGGGTCACCTGCCTTAGGACTGCTTGAACAAGAAGAAAAAAAAAAAAAACCACCACCCAAAATGCCCATTTTGTTTTGTTCTCAGCTCCTGCATTGGGCTATCTGTTATTTGGGGTGGAACAAATTCCACCTTGCTACAGAGGGAAAAAGCTCTTGGAGGTAAGCGTGTCCCGGGGGCATTTCCAGACGGCACTTCCTTTAGATTATCCTTACTGGCACTTTCCACGATTGCACAGGATATCCAGTCCCATCTGTGAAGCAGAAAGAGGACAACCACTCAGTAGCTTCTTTTGCTAGGAGATGCCAGCACCATCGGTCGCCTCCACCCACGTCGCCGGTGGGGTCCGCTGGGTCCAAGATCACGGGCCTAAAGGAGAGTCCGAAACACACGACATGCTTTTTAAAACCAGCGACCTCAGAATCGGGGGCCCATTCCACTTCTGGCACCAAAACGACGTGTCCTACGTTTTAGGTGCTGGTAATTCAAACGTACTGATACGGCACAAAGTGATTTTCGAGAATCCCGTGACATTTGCCAATAGTATTTTGAAAGCTCTTCCTTACTGTACACAGGACGGCATAATAGAAACATCTCCCTCCTGTTAGATCGACTGAAATATGCTGGGTAATTTGATCAACCGTAATGTCATGTCGGCCATGCCCGTGGTAGGCAGCCCATGGTATCTTTTTCTCTCTTTCTTCTCCTCTATTCTTTCTCAGAGCTTTTTTCCTTTCCTCCTCTTCCTTTTCTTTTGCCTCCCTTGTTTTTGGGCTCTGCCGTCAGCACTGAATGGACACGCTAAGGTTCCCTGCTATTCTTGAAGGACAGCGGTTTTGCAGGATGCAGGTCTGAAAGGGGAGAAGAGAGCTGATCCAATAAATCGAATAAAATCTAATTCTCCTGTAGGATGAATCAGCCACGAGGGAAGGATAGCGTTATTTCTCAGAGACACACTTCCCACTTCCACAGCTCTAAGATCTGCTAACGAATTCACACTTTTCCTTCCAACCTAGGAAGACGGAAGCAGCCCAGAGACCCGTACCTTGGTCCTTCCTTCTCTAATCCTCCTGGCTAACGTTCTCTCCTGCCCTCCCCCACCAGGACTTCCTCCCCAGAGACTATGGGAACTTCTGTGGGTTGGCACCTTTCCACTCCCCACCCGCCGACGTCCTGTTTCTTGGGGGGAGCACCGAATCCCGAGCCCAGGGAGGAGAATCCGGGTGGCTGTCATGGCGTTGGAGGGAATCCGGCTAAGGAAAGGGGGTGGCAGGGTTTGGAGTACCTGGTCCTCTGGATCTGGGTCAGTAGGAAGTTCCTCACAGTCTCATCCTCAAAGTTGTAATTGACTGTCCAGAAGACACAGAGCTGCCGATATTTTGTGATCAACTCCAGGACTGTCCGGAAACCTTCTGCGGTGTCGAAATTCTCTGCCCCACTCCCCTGCTCCCAGGAGTAGATGGTGAGCAGCTCCAAGGCATACTTCGGGGGCAGAGACCCTTTACGCTTCAGTTTCCTTTCACACTGAGGGAAGAGGGGAAGGTCAGGCAGTACTGGTGAAGCGGGGAGGAGCAGTGAGCTCAGAGCGCAGAAGACACCTCCCATTAATGGTCCCCGGGGCCACAGCAGGGCAACCGAGGCACGAGATGCAGGGCTGATGGGATGGGGCTGCTGGAGATCTGAGCGGGGCCTCCCTTAGCGGCTTGTAGATTTCTGGTTTGGGCTTTGGCCATATAGGACTCCCTAGAGTTCTACAACAGCGACCACTTTCAGAACACACACGGCGGGCTGACAGAGGGGCCAGACATTTTACATGTCATTCCTAATCCTCCCACACTCCCACCAAGCAGGCATAGGTCAATGTTTCTGATGAAGACGTGAGGCGCGGGGAGGGGAAGTGACTCGCTCAAGGTCACACAGTAGCCCTGAGCCCTCTGAGCACCCTGGCGCTGGGGATATAGCGGCTTCTCTGAGTTTCTGGGTTGGAAACCACAGAGCTCAGGTTGCTGTACGCAGGAAGCAGCTGCTGCTGGGCTGGGTGTCTGCTGCCACGGAGATACTCAGAGGCTCCCCTGTGTGTGAGACAGTGACAGAAATGGAGGGAGGCTAACCGTTACAGAAAAGGCAGCCCCTCGTCCCGCCTGTAGCTTGCGACCTGTCTTCCAAGGCTAGCATCTGTGTGTGCTCCGCTGGGCGCTGAGCGGGGGCTAAGCCATGCTGGTGACCTGTGGGCATGGAAAGTCCCGGTTTCACCTGCCCTGGGGAGCAGAATAACTTGGATTCATGCCCAATTCTCTGGGGGTCAGAGCAGAGGCAAAATAAGACAGACGCGGCCGCTTTGATGGGAGAGGGTGCTCTACAGCTCACCCAGCTTCATGGGTTTGGTGATGGGGACGCCACAGAGACAAGCAGGATTAGTGGACAGGGTCCCCAGAGTGGCTCATCCCCCAGCACGGGAGAGCATGGGCCCACGGAACACTTGATGGGAACCGGTCGCATGGGCGCTTCCAGACAGCTGCAGTGAGAGCGGCCATACCTGTCTGTACCAGTGTTTCACCAGACGAATTAGATCCTTCAGTTTAGTGGGCCGAGAGACAACAAATTTGCGCTGCAGCTCCGTGAAACAGGTGGAAAATTCTCCGCCCACGGCGTCTGACGATTTATACAGATCGATGAGATCAGCGTAGACCTTGGGGCTGGGTGGGGAGCCAGAATTCAGTTGACCTAGCAAGGGAGAGATGTTTCGTTTATGCTTTTCTGTGCATAAAAGTAACCATTTCCAAATATTTTTGACCAATGTGATTTAATTCGATGACTCTGAATTCTGTTCGTATATTTGAACGATTAATGTCTAAGATACTGGGAGTAATGGGATAGTTGAAAAAATTATATGGTCTGTAGGAGGACAGGTGCTATTATCAAAGTATTATCTAGATGTATACTGTCTGATACAGTAGCCACCAAACAATGTGGCTATTTGGATTCAAACTAACTAGAGGGAAATAAAATAAAAAATTTGGCTCCTCAGTCCCATTAACCACATTTTAAGCTGTCAGTAGATGTAGAACATGGTTATTACCACAGAAAGACATTTTAAACAGTACTGATTGGGAGTTTGCTAACTATACATGGTAGGCAAAATCTGGCCCACTTCTTGTTTTTGTAAATAAAGTTTTATTGGAACACTGCTATGCTTCTTTGTTAATGTATTGTCTATGGCTGCTTTCAGGGTACAGTGGCAGAACTGAGTAGTTGTGACGGAAACTGTGTGGTCGTCAAAGCTGAAAATACTTGCTACCTTGCCTTTAAAAAAAATAGCTGACCCCCAATTTATACTATTATTTCCTCTCTAGAGACACTAAGAACTATTCAGAGGGAAGGTATCAGAGTCTTTTTGATTCTGATTTGAAAAGTTGCTGAAATGGTCTTGGTTTATTTTAATACAACATTACATATCTGTTGTTCATGAACCGAATTTCCAAAGCAGACTGAAGGCACCCAGATTTCCTGTCTTTGCCTCACATTCTTCCCAGTCTGTTCCTTCATTTCCTTCACTAATACTTGTGGCATTTTATCTGTACATGTGTACAGAACGCCTGTGGCCCCATTCTTTGATAGATATTACGAGGGATACTACAGGAATAGAAGAATATAAGGAACATGGTCCTGGCCATGTTTGGGATGAGTAAGTGAGAAAGGAGAATGAACAGGTCCTTAGGTGTAAGGGGTTGCTGCCATTCCTCGTGCCGCCTGTTGGGGGCACTAGACCTATGAGCCAATACTAGGTCACATGGCTTTCCCTCCACCCTCCTTGCCCCATCACCCCGAACCCCGCTTCCTCCTCCAGCAGCAAAGGTCTGGGGGAGGGGGTCTCACCTAGGGCATTAAATGCAGGCAGGACATCAAAGTTCACACTTTCGTTGAGCACTTTGGATTTCAGAGAGAAACTCAGCACCCTGGGAGCCTTCCATTTTGAAATCTCAAACTGTACTTCGAACTCTTTCTCCCGCTGACAGGCTACTAGCTGTGTATGGATTTCCTTGATGATACAGCATCTCTCGTTTTTTTGGGAGGTGTAGCTTTTAAGCGAGTCTGTGAACACAACGAGGTCGGCATCGGAGCCAGTCTTCAGAGCTGTGCCTTTGCCTGTCGACCCTCCCTAGTGAAGAAAGGCAAGCTGAGATCCAGCATTTTCTAGATCCCGAGCCCCTCACACACCACCCCCCCCCGCCCCCACAGGCTGGCAGCAAGCGGGCTCATTAATAAGGTTGCCAAGGTTAGGGTCCAGTTAGGGCTGAGTCCAAAGCAGAGCATTCAATTTTTCAAACAAATAGTTTGGTTCCAAAGGTTTTCTCATGCTCTTTGATGTGCTTATTAACCCATGAACAACAGAGGGGCTTTTACCCATCACCCACTTCTCGTGTCAACTTCCTCAAGAGTTCTCCCAATGAGCATTTAGCTTTATGGGAATTCCTGCGACCTGAGAGAAATCAAGCTGGATGCAATCATTGCGTTGAAAGTTCCCTGATTCATCTGTTTCCTCTTGCAAGCTGCGGATCATGGGGTGAATGCTGATGATTCAGGTACAGCGATCGGCAAACTTTCCGTAAGGGGTCGGGTACTAAATGGGGGCTGTGTATGTCCCTGCCTCACAGGGTTCTCTACTTCCTCCTCCCTCCTCCTCCTCTTCCTCCTTCCCTTTCTGCTCTAAAGAGTCTGTTAGGCAGAGCTTAGCTGACAGGCTGCTTCGCGGGCAAGCGGGTGGGGAGAAGCCAGCTTCCCCACAGAGAATCGTTCCATGCATGATGCTGGGGGCTTTGCTCTGGGCACCGACCTTCACACCTGCTGCCCTGGTTGCCCCCAAAAAGCTCATTCAATTTTTACAGAGAACCCCTTTGTTTTACCCATGAGTGATAAACGCCTGGCAGTGGGTTAGGGGCGAGGGGAGGGTATAAACCTGCTTCATTCATGCAGCTGGTCTGTGAGTGTTGGCCTTAGCAGGCCACACTCTACGCCCCCTCCTCATATTCAGGGCACGCATCCCATGTCACCTAGCAGACAACCCTTTCCAACTTCAGGAAGACAGAAAGCAACATCCTGTGCACTGGTGGTTCTCTTCCTATTTTCTTCTGTGATATGCTGCTATGCATTTTCTTATTTTTTGCTATCGGGTTAATGGGAATCTCGGAGTGTTGGGCTGGCAGAAAGGGCTACTTAAGATGGCGAAAGTTCCCGCCACAAGACCTGAGCTCGGACAGGAGAACAAAGGCCCAAGCAGGAATCTGAGACCCCCGCCCCGGGCTCCTATGGACCAATGGGACCCTGACAAGCGGGAATCTGAGACCCTGCTCCGGGCCCTGGTGGACCAATGGGACCCCAACGAGCAGGCGATATATCCGAATAAGGGAAACTTGCCAAAAGACCCCTGAGCTCCCCTCGAAACCCCTTAAAAGCTCCCTCCTCCCTGCCTTAGGGGCGACTTCCGCCACTCTGCTTCCCAGAGTCGCGGAACCTCGCCCGAGGGTGCCCACCTCCTCCCGGCGCAACTTTCCTGGCTCCCCTTCTCCTGAGCCCTGAAACTTCGCTGGAGATGCCTTTAATAAATCTTGCCTTGCACCCACTTTGCCTGGTGTCGTGTTTATCTCGCCGGAAAAACTTTACAGGGAGGGGAGAAAACAAGCTTTGACAATTCTAGCACTGACCATGAACTCAGCCTTTGACCATGAACTCAGTCCAATGAACCTCAGTGAGACATTTTACTCAACACTCATGGGATATTGGTACCAGTCCCCGGGTCTGTCTAAGGACAGAAGGCTCCCAGGTCTGTTTGGCACCGTATGGGCACCTCCCTGCTCCCTCCTTGGGACCAGCACCTGGTGATCTGGTCGCTGACCAACAGATGGAGGGAAGCGGGTTAGCCTGTGGCCTTGAGTCTTGGACAAGAACGAACCTTTAGCTCAGTTGATGGGCCTTAGCAGGCTGTGGTCATTAAAGCAAGAAAGAGGTCACGTTCTGGTTCAGTACACACCGAGCTTAGAAGATGCTGTGGTTTGAATGGTAGCCCCAGTGGCTCCCAATGGGAATGTGAGAACATGACCTGACTTGGAAAAAGGGTCTTTGTCTATGACATTGAGTGAGGGGTCTGCGGACCCTAAATCCAACGGCAGGTGTCCTTAGGAGACAAGAGGAAGAAGAGGAGACCCTCAGAGGAGAGGTGATGGGGAGACAGAGGCAGAGTTGGGGGAGGTGCAGGTCCCAGGCCAAGGCCATGAAGGGTCACGGCAGCCCCCCAGAAGCTCATACAGATCCAAAAGTATATCGTTAGTGATGGAAGCAGGGCGTGAGCAACCCCACTGAGAGCCGCAGTCCTAGGTGCCCATCTTCCCCGCTTCCCCCCTCCTCCCTTGCCCTCTGTCCACGTCCACGGGCGGGCTCTGCAGAGCTCCAGGAACCACGTGGGAGAAAGGCCAATGCTCACCTCCACAGTCTTCTGAACCTTCGTCCTTGAATGCCTAAAGCAATTTTTTTGAAGGAATTCACGGATGAATTTAACAGCTACGGTGATCTGGTCTAGGAACTGTTTGTTGGGCTGGAGAAAGTCCTTGATAAACTTGTCTAGACGATGGCCCGGGGTGGCGAACAGCGGCACGGGCTGGGAAGGTGGACGGAGGCTCAGTGCTTTCATCGACACTCCATGAGAACATTCTAGAGAGTCCAGGGCAGTGCCCAAGGCCCTCCCCACCGCCCCCAGCCCAAAACAAAAACTGTGAGTTGTTCCTTCCTACCCCCAAGAAAGATTTGACCCTTCCCGGGACTCGAAGCTATTCTGGGTGTGGCAATGCCTTCTGTGGCTGGACCCCCCTTAACCTTTGTGCCCCCTTTGTCTTCCGCTGACTGCAGAGACTGCAGATTTCTGGAGAAATGCTCACACGCGAGCCTTCTCAGACCTCACGGCTTCTGCTGCACACACGTACCCTTGGGGATTGGTTTTCCGGGGCTGCCCTAGCAACATACCCCTGGGGAGCTTCCGACAACAGAAATGTATGTTCTCTCGTGTTCCAGAGACTAAAGTCTGCGCTCAGTGTCAGCGGAGCCGGGCGGCCTCTGAAGGCTGTAGGGAAGGAGCCTTCCTTGCCCCTTCCCTACCCCTCCGGAGGCTCCAGCAACAACTCGCCTTCCCTGGCTTGTAGACACACCACTCCAGCCACTGGCGTGTCTGGGTTTGCCTGTGACTTCTGATAAGGACACCAGTCACTGGAGTCAGAGCCCATGCCAATCTAGGATGACCTCATCTCACTAATGATGCCTGCAAAGACCCCACTTCTAAAGAAGCTCCCATTCCAAGGGTCCAGGTGGACATGAGTTTGGTGGGACACTATTCAACCCTCGGTATTGTTCTCAGTGAGCTGAGCAGAGAGCCAGCCTGGGATCGGAAGGCCAGTGGGTTCAGTCTGAAGGAACACTTCTCTGCTCCAAAAGGGGTCATGGAGGGTGGGACATGCCCCTTCCTTGCGCTTGGGGTCACTTCTGGAAAGAAAGCATGTTCTGATTTCTAAGTGGGGTCTGGCCTGCGCAGGAGTGCAGTTCTTTCCTCTTCAGTAGAAAAGCTCAGACTGTGGGGTCTGCTCCGTGTCACGGGTCTTGACACCCCACGGGGGGCCCCACCTGCTCAGTCTACCCTAGAGGTCCCCGTCTGCGGAGGTGGGGGGGTGACACCCCCACCTCCCCACATGTCCGCGTCAAAGTCCCCAGAAACTGTGCATCGGTTTCCTTATATGGAACGTGGAACTTTCCAGATGTGGTTAAGCTAAGGCTCTGGAGATGGGGATGATCCTGGATTATCTGGGTGTGCCCAGGGTCATCACAGGGTCCTTTCAAGAGGGAGGCAGGGGCATCAGCATTTTATAGAGAGATGGAAGGCTAGAAGCTTTAAATTAAATTAAATTTGTGATATTCCTCAGCCTTGAAATTTGTGGTTTTCTTTCCTCTTCCTTCCTTTTCTTTCTCTCTTTCCCCTTCCTCCCTTCCTTCCCTCCTTCCAGCAGGGAAAGGAACACTGCTCTGTACAGACACCGTCCCTTTGCTGGTGAGCACAGAGAAGACGGGCCACCTCTCCCTGGGGACACGGGTCGGCTGGTTAGCTTTAAAGTTGAAGGTCAACCTTGGTTGCCTCCTGATGTTGGCAATGGACTTCACCATTGGTTGAAAGCAAATTCATTACTGGTACTGCCCTTCCCACCCGGCTGAGTATCGTGGGGGTGGGCGGCGTGTGTGTGTGTGTGTGTGTGTGTGTGTGTGTGTGTGTGTTTGTTTGTGTACATGTGCGTGTACGTGTATGCCCTCCAGTGCCCAGACACCCTGATGCAGCAGCTTGTGGGCCCGAGTGGCCTCCAGCAGCTCTCCTGAGAGGGGCGGCCTCCTAGTTCTGGAAACAGGTTGATTGGGTAGAAAACAGAGCAAAAGCAGGGATCAAAAGACATCTTAGGGGCAGCACACAAGAACCAAAGCAGCGCGGGCTGGGGAAAAACTGGCTACCAGAAACATTCTTCAGATAGCTGCGAAGATCTGGAAACGGCTGGACGGTAATGATGTCTTAGTCTTAATCTCTGGAATTTGATCATTGAGTGTGGTTCGCTAAGAGAATGTCCCTCTCGGGCAGCCAACGCAAGTGGCCCAGTGGAAACAACATACACAACACTGACAGTGACAAGTGTGCGTACACACACGCAGACCGGAACGCAGCTGGAGAGGTCAAGGGTTAAACGTGTGCGTGTCCAAGTCGATGCAGTGGTTCACTGAACCATTTTTACAACTTTTCTGTATGTTTAAAAGTGTTCAGAATAGAGTTGGGGGTGGGGTGGATTTTTTTTTTTTTTAAGATTTTATTTATTTATTTGTCAGGGACAGAGGGAGAGAGAGCGAGCACAGGCAGACAGAGGCAGAGGGAGAAGCAGGTTCCCTGCCGAGCAAGGAGCCCGATGTAGGACTCAATCCCAGGACACTGGGATCATGACCTGAGCCGAAGGCAGCTGCTTAACCAACTGAGCCACCCAGGCGTCCCTGGGGTGGATATTTTTAAAAAGGCTGTTTTAGGAAGCCAGGAATATCGAGGTCAAGGAGCAAAGCCCGGAGTCCAGGGAAAGTCGGGACAAGGAGTGGGCCGACCATGTTCCTTCTGGATCCCGTCAGGGAGCTCCCCGCCCACAGGGTCCTCCCCGTCCAGGGCCCCGGGCACTTGGGAAACTCACTTATATCCCATCTTTGCTCAGTTGACCCTCAACTTTCTGTGCCAAATGGAATGTAGATTCACCCCCACCATTTTTCGGGTGTAAATTAGTTGCGTGTCTGTGCAATGTGGAATTTGGTTGCCCAATGTGGTCTCAAATGACACCTTTGTCCCCTTGCCATCCCATGACCCCCAGAAAAACGGAAAGGATTCAGTGGCCTAAACTGATGACATGCTTGTCGAATAGTCCTTAAGCTCTGAGAGCAGCACAGGGGCATTCTGTGGTGGTAGACGGACTTCTCTTTGGGGGATGGGAGGGGAAGCCGGCCCCTTGATCTGCGCTCCAGTCTGGGGAGAGGGCGGCTGCCAGGCACTCGCCTGGACCTCTGCTCCGTGGGATCCATCCCCCACCTCTCCACCTGCTCTCTCTCCTGCAGCAATTCATTGAAATCTTTAATCTGCAGGTGCCCTTCTCTCTTTGCTCAGTTTTAAGAGGAGGGGGACACAGAGACAGAGACTCAAAGAGAAGAGACACTGTGAAGACACACCACAGGAGGCCATGTGACAACGGAGGCAGAGATGGGAGGGACACAGCCACATGCCGAGAGCACCAGCAACCACCAGAAAAAGGAGGAATCCTCCCCAGGAGCCTTCACAGAGCCCAGCCCACACTTGGACCTTGGATTTCTAGCCTCCAGATCTGCGAGAGAATACATTTCTATTGCTGTAAGCCACCGGCGTATGACGATTTGTCACCCCAGCTATAGGAAATCCGCAAAATTTGTCACCCCAGCTATAGGAAATCTGCACATGGTGTTCTTGGCTAAGACCGGGGTCTGGGCATCAGGACACCCTCCCTGCAGCATGACATGAGCTGTATTTGCAAAACTCTCACCAGAACATTCCATGATGATCCAGGTGACTGACTGGGGCTGAGAGAAGACAACCAGCTCAAAGCTTCTTGCTTTAACAGTTGCCAACACGCCTTATCTTTGCTCACGTTATTGGTTGGGTCGGCTGGATCCAAGATTACCGGCCTATGAATTCCATTAGATTAAAAAAAAAAAATCAGTTGGGCTGCCTGCAGAAGAAGAAGTCCATGTTGGGAAGGGAGGACTGGACGGGGCGTCTGGTAACCCAGAACCACGCTTCCTCTCGGTTCCTCGTGTGCTTTGTCTGAGACTACTAGACCTTCTGTTCCTGCCCTCGGTGTTTTGCAGAGATGTTCTGTGAGCAACGTAATTAAATGGTTAGCCCCTTCCTTCCATAAGGGGAAGCACCTCTCGAGTGTTTGTTTGGGGAGCAAAATATGATGACGGTCTGAAATGTGAAAGGCATAGGTCAGGTTCCCCTCGTTCCCGCCCTGCCTCCCTCCCCACCGCTGTTGGGGTTCCTTTGGAGCATCCTTGGCTGGGAAGGATGAGGCAGAGCCTTCATGCTAAGCAGCACAGCCTGGCTTGCAGGCAAACAGGTAAAGAGAGAAGGTGGAAGGAAGCTTGCTACCTGGGTGACTTCAGCTGGCTCAGCAGAATGTTCCGGACTGTCTCATTCTCAAAGTTGTAGTTGACTATCCAATAGATGCACAGCTGCTCCTGCTGTCTGATTAGCCCCAGGACAGTTCGGATGCCTTCTGCCATGTCAAAGTTTTCTGCTCTGCACCCCTGTTCCCAGGCATAGACCGTGAGCAGCTCCAAGGCATACACGGGCAGATGGGACAGACCTTTCAGCCTCTCCTGGCACTGTGGGAGAAGAAAGGGACAGTGACTAATCTGGGGACCCACTTACCCCCAACCATCATGCCTAAAGGACGCCATGCCTCAGATCTGATGAATTTTAGTATCAAGTGTTGGCAAGGGTGTGGAGAACCTGAAACTGTCATATGTCACTGATGGGAGTGTTATTAGGGACAACTGTTTGGGAAAACTAATGTTGGTAGTACTTCCTAAAGTTTAATATGTACATTATTACATATACTTAATGTATTATATGTATTTATGTAATGATATATGTTTTATATACCATATAATAACATACTATATAGCCTGCATATGTATTTATTATGTGCACATACATACATACATAAATATGTCACGTAGATATGTATCTATCTATCTATGTATTCAGATAACTTAAAACCCTGCACTTCCACTCCTGTATATTTACCCAAGAGAAATGAATGCTTAAACTCACAAAAAGACCCGTAGGGGAATAGCCATAGTAACCTAATTCATAATAGCCCCAATCTGGACACGACCCAAGCGTCCTTAGCAGAATGGAGAAAGGTGTGACCAGTCGAGACGACAGAATCCTACAGGACAACGAGACACCACAACTATGTGCAACAGCAGAGACCCATCTCTCAGACCTCACGCTGAGCAGATGGTACACACCACTGATTTCAAGTTCAAAAACAAGCAGAACTGACTGGAGGAGACAGACGTTAGGACGGTGGTCACTTGTCGGGAGTATTCACTGGGAAGAGACTTGAGGTAGCTGCAGGGAGGCAGGAAAGGTGCCCTATTTTGATCTGGACGTTGTTCAAAAGGTTATAAAAAGGCACTGAGCTGGGGGCGCCTGGGGAGCTCAGTGAGTTAAGAGTCTGACTCTTGATTTCGGCTCAGGTCATGATCGCGGGGTCCTCAGACGGAGCGCTGTGCTTAGCGGGGAGTCTGCTTGAGAGTCTCTCTCTCCATCTGCCTCCTCCCCCATCACGATCTCCCTCTCTCTCTAAATAAATAAATGGATGAAATTTTTTTAAAAAATGCACTGAGCTCTATACTTAAGAGTGTCATATTTTCCTGGCTGTGGATGGTCTCGGTGAAGGGGAATTGGACGACCGCCCTAGAAACGGAATTTGAAAATTACCTGTTGGTACCAGTACTTTACCAAGAGGATCAAATCCTTCAGCTTTCTTGGATGGTTGTGAAAAAACCTCTGCTGGAGCTCGGTGAAGCAGACGGAGAATTCGCCAGGGTGGGCTTTGGTCATGTCCAGGGCTCTTCTGAGCTCTCGGTAGGTCTGAGGGGTGGGCTTCTCGCTCAAGCCTAGGGCAAAAAAAGAGAGATGGAGAACCAGTGGTGTTGGGGCACCTTGCCCCCAGGGAGCCAGCCGTGAAGGTCTGCTGGGGTTCAGCAGCACCCGTTGGTGGCTTCTCCTATCAGGGACGCGGTGTGTTCGCCTAAAAGGCGAGGGGAGGCGTGCCTCCCGCCATAATTCAATGACAGTTGTGAAAACCCCACGGTGCTGACCCGAGGCAAGATCGACAGAAACGGAATGATGGAAAACACAATATAAATGAGGAAGGGGGAGCTCCGAGAGGGGAGGGAAAGATGGCTTCTTGAACAAATGGGGCTGGCATGGCTGGCAAAGACCTGGAAGCAAATAGGGTCCATAGATGCACACGGTGTGTTCTGCTTCTGAGCCCAGCTGGTGAGTCAAGGGGACCGGGACTCTGAGGAGGCAGGTAAGGGGAAGGCAGGGCCCTGGAGGCTGGCGTTAGAGGCAGTGGGCCCCTCAGAATGGGACCCTGTGATGCCAGGTAGTGGTTCTCAAACTGGGTGCCCATCAGAATCCTGCTGCCCCGCTAATCTGGTGTACGGGCCCAGGAGGCTCTTAAATCCAGATTAGCTTTGGAGGAGATCTGACAGCCAAGTGGAGAGAGCTCGGGCCTCGATTTTTAACTAAGTTTTTCAGGGGATGCTGATCCCCAGGGACGTCTGAGAACCACTGGTGTGGGGGGCAAAGAAGCCTGTGCCACAGGGGGGAAGGATATTGATAGGGCCACAGAATTTCAACAAGATTTCCCTCTTGCTGGCTGAGCTCTACTGCTTACAAGCACATTTTACAAAGACATAAACAAGAGGAGCCAGGAGCCAACTTGTTTCTTTCATTCACTTCCACAGATATTTAAGAATTCCCCAGTAGGTGAAAGCGATCTTTAGCCCGTCCTTCCCCAGAGGGATCTCAGCAGGGAATGTGCAGTTCTGGCGCCATCTAGTGGCAGCGTCTTGATATCACATGCGAGGAAGAGTGGCGTTTTCACACCGTCCTTGCAATATTGGGGTTGAACCCAGCAGAAGGCCCTTTGGCCCAGTCTCCAGCCAGTCTCTCTGAACAAGAGAGAATATAGGATTTCTTATGAATTCTGAGACACACGAGGTCTCTTCATCTTGACCCCAGACCTTGTTTGGGGTAGTCCCTATCATCTTTTTTTTTTTTTTTAAAGATTTTATTTATTTATTTGACAGAGAAAGATCACAAGTAGGCAGAGAGGCAGGCAGAGAGAGAGAGGGAAGCAGGCTTCCCTGCTGAGCAGAGAGCCCGATGCGGGACTCGATCCCAGGACCCTGAGATCATGACCTGAGCCAAAGGCAGAGGCTTAACCCACTGAGCCACCCAGGCGCCCAGTCCCTATCATCTTAAAGGCCCTGTAAACTTGCCATTTTGAGCCTGATCTTAGAGTTGGCAAAAGTGGGTAAGTGGTGGAACCAGGACAGAAGTGAGAGCTGCCTACCTTCCAGACGGGTGTACTTTTCTCTAACTTGGTTATCTTTCCGTGAATGCAAGTCACTGAGGGGTGTGTGTGTGTGTGTGTGTGTGTGTGTGTTCATCTTAAAGGCATCCTGGCTTGGGGCTTAGGAGATCTGGGCTTTCGTTTCTAGTTCTATCAGTAACTGGTGTGTGTCTCTGGGACATTCTTTTTCCTACAGTTTCCTGTTTGCTTAATGAGGGGTTTAATTTCAGCTCTAGCATTTAAGTTTGTGATTACATGCACCCGTGCTCGAGACTAAGCTGTCACTAGGCTGAGCTTTATCCTTCCTTCCTATCTACCATCCATCCATCCATCCACCCATCCATCTTTCCTTCTATCCATCCAGCCTATCATATCCATCCATCCATCCACCCATCCGTCCACCCATCCATCCATCCACCCATCCATCCATCCATCCATCCACCCATCCATCCATCCATCCACCCATCCATCCATCCATCCACGCATCCATCCATCCACCCATCTAACCATCCACCCACCCATCCATCCATCCAACCAACCAACCAACCAACCATCCATTTGTCCAACCAGTTGCCCATGGAAGGGCAACCAGTTGCCTTGATGTTGACTTGGCCAGAAGGCAGACTCCAAATGCCTGCCCCAGATGAACTTTTCCCAGATGTTTGCCCCATCCTCTTCCACTAATCAACATTTATTCTAGCCTAAATCCCCAGGGGTGGTGTGTGGACCAGCACGAGCAGCACGGCCCTGGATAGACATACAGAGTCTGTGGCCCAGCCCCAATCTCCTGAATCAGAGCCTGCACTTTAACAAGGTTCCATGGTGATTTGTGTGCATGTCATTATTTGAGAAACTCTGCTCTAGATTCTGGAATCTAGGACATTTTCTCCAAAGTCAGTTAGGAGATGGGGCAAAAGTTCTAGAGAAGACAGTAAGCCTAGGGCAGGAGGGACCCCCTCTCTTAAAGGGATGTGGCCCCTGGCTTTGGAACATACCAGTGGTGTCTATCACATCCCCAGCCTCAAGGACCCCCATGGCTGTCTGACACCCTTTTCTTTGGCTTTGCTCTCTCAACACCCCTCTCCAGGCCAGTGCCATCCACACACCCAGGAGCAACTCACCCAGAGCATTGTAAGCAGGCAGCACCTTGAACATGATGTTCTGCGATCTTGTGGACAGCTGTAAGGTGAGACCACTGGGGGACTTCTGGACCTCCATTTTGGCTGGCATCTTCCTGGTGAACTGACACTCTGTCAGACACAGCCAGAGCTTGGTGAGGATTTCATCTTGTTTTTTTTTCTGATCCTGGAACTGTTCAAAGTCACTGACAAAGATGACAATCGTCCCATCGGAGTTGCCCCTCAACATCGTTTCTCTGCCATAGGAGCCACCCTGCCAGTGACAGAGACACAGATGTGAGACTCTGGACCCTCTGGGGTCACCGGATGCCCCAGCAGGCCTTAGTATTTCTCAAATCCAGCCAAAGCCAAAAGTGTCACCAGAGTCTTAGAATCGAGTGGCAAGTGTCCTTTTGTCCGCCCAAAGACCTGAATGAGGATGCCCGTCGCAGCACCTCTCACACGAGCCTCGATGGGAGGCAGCTCAAGCAGGAGGAGGGACAAAGGCGGTGTCCTCGCACCCTGGGACACTACCCAGCGTCGAACTGATAAACACACGCTCACACACGACAACGTACATTTCCTAAACAGGATGGGGTCCAAGAAGCCATGCAGTAAAGCTACGCTGGGCATGATTTCCTTCATATTCTGTAACCAGCCTATCTGGTTTTCCCAGGACATTCCCAGTCTCAGCACAGAAAACCCCTCAGTCCCAGGCAGACCAGCACAGTTGGTCACCCCACAATTATGCAAAGTTAAACAAACAAACAAACAGCAAAATGAAACTAGGCTGTCAGAAGTCCGGAGAGTGGTTAGGGGAGGACTAGGGGTCCCAGGGACTGGATTGAGGGTCCTCGGGCTCTTGGGGCTGGGAACGTTTCCTTTCTCCACCTGGGCGTAGGTGACACAGGTGTGTTGTTTGTGGCAATCCATCGGGCTATACACTTAGATCTGTGCCCCTTTCCTATGTTTTATTTTCGTTAGGAAAAACTGAACCATATTGAGAGGCGGTGGTTCAGGGCGCGTGCAACCAAGCAGACTATTTGGGCTGAAAGCCCAGCTCTGCCTCCAGCTACTAAGTCACTTCCTTGTGCTTCAGTTTCCTCATCTGGGCCAAGGCCAAGGGATGCCAGGTATCCAGGCGTCTTTACTGCCAGGGCTGCTGCGCATGCATGAGGCAGATGCCAGGAGGCACGGTGCGTGCGGAGAAATGGGGCTCCGGGGCTGGTGGACCCCTAAGTCCCTCCCACCCTATAGTCCTGGCACTTTTCCCAGCACCTTTCCTCCCCCTAAAGCCCCGGATCTTCAGCCTCAGCCACGGGATTTGTACCCCCAGCACCAAACATTTCTACTTGATAAGACCCACCCCTTCCTGCCATTGAGAAACCACAGAGCGATCTTGGGGTAGTTTCACTGCATCTCCCAGCCTCAGTCACTGCTCTGTGACATGGGGTGGATAGAAACAACGATGGAGAGGAATCACAGCGCATTTACCAAGGACTAACTAGGCCCCAGGCCCCATACTAAGAACATTATATGCTTAATCCTCATTACAGTCTGAATTTATTCTTCCTCTCCCATTTTTCAGACTCAGAGACTGAAGCACAGAGAGGTTAAGCAACCTGCCCTGGGGCACACAGCAGTCAAGGCAGAGCGCTCCTACTCCCGTGCTCCATCACCTCCCTCGAGGGTGGGGAGGGCAAGTGGATGTCTTGGTCACCCAAAGCCTGTCACCCGGAAGGCACTCAGTACCACGTCACTCCTCCTTCCGATGGCCACGGAACCTCAGGGTCCCAGCAGCCCAGACCCCCAGCCTTCCACTCACTTTGACCACACTTATCGTGGGGGGGCTCTGCTCCGTTTCCTGCAGGATGGCACAGATGGCGTTCACCGTGTCATGGATCTGTCTCTGACACTCTTCATAGGGCCTCAGGGAGTTCTCAATCAGCTCGTCCAGCTTCTCAGGCTGCACGGAGTACAGATGCGACCCCCAGATGCCCATTGCTCCTGCTGGCGGCAGTGGTGTCGGGGGATGGAAGGGAGAGGAGAAGGAGCCACTCCCTTGCTTACAGCCAGGAAATCAAAACTCACATTCAAGAACCAGGAAACTGCAAATGACCCGGGCGAGAGTCTAGAAACCGAAACTCACAGAATGTTCCCAGCTGACTTCCTTGTTGAGATTTCTGCCCACCCCCGCAGGGTGGGCTCCTCTCTGGGCGTCCTTTTTTTTTTTTTTTCCCAGATTTTATCTATTTATTTGAAAGAGAGCCAGTGAAGAAGAAAGAGCATGAGCAGAGGGGAGAGGGAGAAGCAGGCTCTCTGCGGAGCAGGGAGCCTGATATGGGACTCCATCCCAGGACCCTGGGATCATGACTTGAGCTGAAGGCAGACACTTAACCAAATGAGCCACCCAGGTGCCCCATCCCCTGTCCTTGTACTTAAACAGACTCTGGAGCCCCCTTAGGATGGCTTGATCTATGCTAGCATATCCTTGAGCACCTTGCCTGCTCTATTTGTGCCTCAACTTGCCCATCTGTGAAATGGCATAACAATGGTAGTTCTCTCGTAGGGTTCACGTTAGAATGGGGAGGGGGCACTTGGCAAATGCTATTTAAGAAGTTGTTAATCAAATTAGCTTTTGCAGGGGACTGAGGTCATCTCCCGGGGCTCTTTCCCTTCTCCCCTCGTTAAAAAACAAAATTCAGTGCCATAAACTTGAAGGTCTAATTGGCTTCATTAAGTGCTTCATAAATGGGGCAGCATCCGATCTAGAAAGTAGAAAGAGCTCCAGAAGTTGTTGCATGATGGTTTTCATCGGGAGGAGGGCGGGGCAAGAAGCTGGTAACAGGAAAAGAGAGGACAGTTCAGACCCCTTTTTGGGGCCCAGGGACTGGGCCGGCCACGTGTTTATCCTGCAGATGACATCCCTAGTGTTCCTGGGGAAATCTCGGGCTGACCTTTCAAAGGTCACATTCCAGGCATAGGTTAAAACTGTAATTAAGGGGGCGCCTGGGTGGCTCAGTGGTTGAGCATCTGCCTTCGGCTCAGGTCATGATCCCAGGGTCCTGGGATCGAGTCCAGGGCCTGGGAAGTCTGAGTCCATGAGAGCAGCAAGGAGAAAGGGATCCAGAGAGGGGACTGGTTTGCTTAGGGACACACAGAAAGGCGAAGTCTGAGCTGGACGCAGGTTCTAATTCTGCTGCTGGGTGATGTGGGACTCAAAGGCAGAAGGAAATATAGATAAAATTAAACACCTTCGAATCTGCCGCCTGACAAACTCTTGAGGAGGCGGGCGGAGTATGGGGTACCTCTGGGAAACTCCCAACTGGCTTAATGCTAGTGCTTTGCTAGAGGGAAGCGCCACCTGAGTTTGACAATGTCAAGGCCTCCAGGATGCTGAGTCTTCTTCAGCATATGAAATCCTCCGGGGGACACTGGACTGGCTCAGTCGGTTAGGCAGCTGCCTTGGTCTCAGGTTGTGATCTCAGGGTCCTGGGATGGAGCCCAGCATCGGGTTCCCAGCTCAAAGGGAGAGCCTGCTTCTCCCTCTCCCTCAGCCACTCCCCCTGCTCGGGCTCTCTCACTTTCTCTCTCTTTCAAATAAAAAATAAAATCTTTTAAAAAAAGAAAGAAAGAAAGAAAATTGTTTTGGAACTTGCCTTAGTTTTACTTTCCCGAACCCCAAAGAATATAATCAGTCACCTCACAATCCCAGGGCAGCCCCTCTTCCTGCGCAGGGGTCCTGTCCCCGTGCTTTAATAAAACCACCTTTTTTTGCACCAACAACGTCACAAGAATCCTTTCTTGGTTGTTGGCTTCGGACCCCACGAAACACACCAATATCTCACAGCTACATCCCTGGGCACATAGAGGTCCAGGACTGGTCAGCATGCTTGTGGATACTTGTGGGGTCTCAGCACATGCTTGCCTGGCCCAGGAAGGGTGGGACATGGGCCTAGGGTTGCATAGGCTAAAGGGGAGACAGATGTGCAAGTCCATTCAGAGCTCTATGAAAAATGAAAACCCCCAGATGGCTCCCACTGGCTCTCTCCGTCTAGCAATAAAAAGTAATGTAGAAGGCAAAAATTCCCTGAGGTGTGGGAAGAACAGGGCCCTTCTCTGCTGTGATGATTAATTTTGTGTGTCAGCTTGGCTGGGCCATGGCACGCAGATATTTAGTCAAACCTTATTCTAGATCCTTCTGTGAAGGTTTTTTTGTGTGTTTTTTTTTCTTTTCCCCATGAGATTAACATTTTAATCAGTAGACTTTGCATAAAGCAGAAGACTTTTCATGACACGGTGGGCCTTGTCCAATCAGTTGAAGGCCTTCATAGAAAAAAGACTGCCTTCTCCTGAGGAAGAAGAAAATTCACCAGCAGGTGGCCTTCAGACTCAAGCTGCAACATCAACTTCTCTCTGGGTCTCCAGCCTCCCTCCTATGGAATTTGGACTTGCTAGCGTTCACGACAGCCAGAGCCATTTCCTGAATTAGATCTCCACACTGCATTGGTCCTGTTTCTCTAGAGAATCTTAACTACCACACCCACCCTGAAAGTGCCTCTTCTTGTCCTTAGGACTGTTCTTGCCACATCTAGAGGTAGGCTGGTCAGGGATCAGTAGGCTCCTTTTCCAGAGGAGAACAAGAAGGCGAGGAGAGAGAGGTGGGAAGTCCCACAGCTCGTAGGTTGTCTGGTTAGGCTCTCACTCCGCAGGACCTGATTCCAAAGTCCATGCTTTATTATTATTTTTTAAAATTTTATTTTGAAATAATTTGAAACCCTGAGAAAATGTGCAAGATGAGTATAAAGAGATCCCTTATGCCCTTCCCCCACAATATTCAGCACATACGTTCCTCATTCTTTCCACGTGGACATCTTACCGGTATCACACAGTCCTGTTTGAGTGCGTGTTGCAGATATTGTGCCCGTTTTTTCCAATTTTCTTAAAGATTTTATTTATTTATTTGAGAAAGAGAATGAGAGACAGAGCACAAGCTGGGGGGAGAAGCAGAGGGAGAAGCAGACCCAGACTTGGGACTCGATCCCAGGACCCTGACTGAGATCATGACCTGAGCCGAAGACAGAGGCTTTAACCCACTGAGCCACCCAGGTGCCCCATCTCTCTCTTTTTCAAAATAGACTTTGTTTGTTTATTTATTTATTTATTTATTTATTTTTAAAGATTTTGTTTATTTGACAGAGAGAGAGAGAGAGCACAAATAGGCAGAGAGGCTGACAGAGAGGGAGAAGCAGACTCCCTGCAGAGCAGAGAGCCCGATGCGGGGCTCGATCCCAGGACCCTGAGATCATGACCTGAGCTGAAGGCAGAGGCTTTAACCCACTGAGCCATCCAGGCGCCCCTAGATTTTGTATTTTAAAGTAAAGTTAAGCAGAAGGCCCAGAGATTTCCTAGAGAACCCCTGCCCTCCTACGCACAACCTCCACCACTATCAACAACCCCCCCACCTCAACTGGAATGTTTGTTTGAACCGATGAGCCTATGTTTACATGTCAGTATTGCCCAGACCTCGTTCCTCTTAAATATTTCAATATATATTCCCTAAACATACGGATATCTTGTTACATAAACAGAGAGCAGTGATGTGATTTAGAATTTTAAGATTGATACGATGCTATCCTTTCTCATAGCACATATAAAGAATAGATCCTTATATTCAAATTTTAATAGTTATTCTAGTACTGATCTTTACATCCTCCTCCGCCCGCTGTCCTCACCCCACTCCAGGATCACACAGAGTTGTCATGGTTCCCAGACGGGACTCCCGGGAAGCACTGGGGAAGGGACGGTGTCATTTGGGGGGAAAGTTCCCTGTGTCCTAATTATCTGTCTTTGAAGTATTTTGATAGTGCAAATTGAGTAGTTCCCTGGTTTGTGACCCATTTAGTCTGCTCCTAGGGACGCCCTATTTTACGACCAGCTCTTTAACTCTCTGGGGCTCAGGGCCTCCCGGCTGCCCCCCTCAGCCCTACCTCTCACAGGATTGTGTCCACCTAACAGGTCAGTGTTGTCTCGTGGCTGATGTCAGTTCAAGATCCCCCCATCCCCAGCGCTATTCGGGGGACCGTAACGATGTCTTCTGTGGAGGGGGCCACTCGAGCTTCCTAGTGATGCCGGCTCTGCTTACTGGCCTGTTCCTCCTGGCCTCGATGAAGGTGTCTTCTCTGCTTTTCCATGGGTGATGATTTGGTGGCTCTTCTGGCCCTATGTGGCATACCCCGCCCCCGCATGCCCACCTCCCCGACCTTCGAGCCCCATCACCCCCATCCTTCAGGCAATATTGTCACTGAGCTCTCACCCAGCTCGGCTTTTATTCACCTTTTCCATTTTTCTAGAAGCTTTGCTAGCAGCGAGCTTGCCCCTTCTCCTGGGCTTCTGGCCAGGGTATGAAGTCCTCGTGGGATTTCCAAATCAATAAACTCTTCCTCATCCAGTCTTACACAGGGGGGTCCACTCCCAATCACACCCACCTGGCTTTCCTTGGTTCGCGCTGGCTGGGTTTTCCGGCTGTTTGGGGTACAGGTCCATCCGTCCCTTATTCAGCCCAGCATCCCTGGCGGGGCTGTTCTGGGACTTCACCCCAGTTCTAGGACCACTGGGCAGGAGGGGACATGGGTGCAGTTCACAGGGCAGGGGGATGATTTATAGAAGAGAGGCGTCTGCAGGGTCTCCTTGTAAGGCGGGAGGTGCTAGCTTTTAACGGGAGGGGAGCAGCTCTGAGGGTTCAGAGGAATCTGGGGAGTCCAGATCTTCAGGGTCTCCAGCCCTTATGTCCCCAGGGCTTCGTGTCAAGATTCCCATTCTCTCCCAACCAGGGTCCTGACCTTAGTTAGCAGACCCGATTACCCGCTAGGGGGCGCTATCATCAAAACGACAGACAATAGCTGGTGTTGGGGAGGATATGGAGAAGCCCCCCTCACTGCTGGAGGCGGGGTGAGTGGCACAGAGCCAGGGGACTCGTTAAGGTGGGTCGTCACCGTTAAACCTGGAGTTGTACAAGCCAGCGATTCCACTTCTGGCTAGATACACCCAAGAGAAAAATACATGTTTGCATAAAATCCCACGCCAACATTCATAAAGGCCAAAACGTGGAAACAGTCCAAACGCCCACCAGGGGATGACTGGGTAAACCCGGAGTGGTCTCTCCACCCAGTGGAATATCGTCCAGTAACAGTAAGGGGGAACCAGGGACGTAGAAGCTCCCACATCACGCGGACGGACCTTGAGCACGTGCTGCTAAGTGAAAGAAGCTGGACACAAAAGGACAAATACGGTGTCATCTCATTTGTAGGAAGTGGCGATAATAGAGCCAGGAAGCAGATGAGTGGGTGGCCAGAGATTGGGTGGGGAGGGGCCGCGGGAATGCAGAGTGAGTTCTGATGGATTTCAGGTTTCCCTTGGAGCTGATGAGAATGTTCTGGAATCAGGATAGCGGATGCCCCTTGTGACATGGCTCACCTGGTCAGTATCCTAAATGCGAATTTTGTGACTATCCCCAAACCACTGAGCTGTTCCCTTTATAAATCAAGATTCACCGTGTGTGAATTACATGTCAAGGGTGATTTTTTTTAATTAAAAATTAAATTAAAGCATTAAACAAACAAACCTGACACTTTCTTTGGAGTCTTGCTTTGCGCACGTACTGCCTTTCTGGACGGGGTCCTCATTCTCCCCCACTCTCCGGCCACAGGAGATGGAGCCTCTGTGAGCTACGGGGAGGACCCCTGACTCTGCGGGACTCACAATGGCTGATTGATCACATATAGCTTTTCTTTATTTTTTATCCCCTAAGTCTTCCTAGTAAGGTGGGTTTTGTTTTTTTTTTTAGATTTTTATTTTTATTTATTTGACAGGCAGAGATTACAGGTAGGCAGAGAGGCAGCCAGAGAGAGGAGGAAGCAGGCTCCCTGCTCAGCAGAGAGCCCGATGCGGGGCTCGATCCCAGGACCCTGAGATCATGACCTGAGCCAAAGGCAGAGGCTTTAACCCACTGAGCCACCCAGGCGCCCCAAGGTGTTTTTTTTTTTTAATTAATATATAATGTATTATTTGCTTCAGGGGTACCGGTCTGTGAATCATCAGTCTTACACACTTCATAGCACTCAGTATAGCACATAACCTCCCCAAGATTTTATTTATTTATTTGAGAGAGACAGAAATAGAGAACACGAGCAGGAGGAGCCGCAAAGGGAGAGGGAGAAGGGGAGAAGTAGACTCCTGGGTGAGAAGACAGCCCGATGCGGGGCTCGATCCCGGGACCCCAAGATCATGACCTGAGCCGAAGGCAGACGCTTAACCGACTGAGACACCCAGGTGTCCCCTCTCCCAGTAAGTTTTAATACTGCCTGGGCTACTCTCTCCTCAGAGCTCTTTTCTCCTGCATTATCTGAACTTTCCTTGCACGTGTATGTTTCCTTAAGACCTTTAGTTCCAGAGAAAAGTGCTTGTGGGCATTTTGGGGAGTATCTCTAGGATCATTAAATGTAGAAATCAAGTTGGTACTGACATCCATCTAAGGTTATGGCTAAGCCCTCGAAAGTCATGGTGGGGTCACTATGTCAATACCAGGGTGGTCATTGTCAAGGACCAAGGAGCTAAAGTAAAATAAATCCCCACAGGGATCAGCTCAGCCCAGGTGACGGACAGGTCCTCCTTACCTCCTGCCTACTGGGGCTACCTCAATTCCCACCATCTCACAACTCCCCTCATTCAAGAGCCATTTTGTTGGCGGGGGGAGAGCTAGAGTCTGTGCCATGAAGATGGGAATTACCGAATTGAGACCCGTCACTGGTTCCACCCAGGACGAGCAAGGTCAAAGCCAGGTCCTCACCTGCTGGTGCATGCTTGGCAGGCCAGGTCTCTGCGGCCCGCAAGCATCAGTCCTGAGCTCTGGGGACAGCCAACCACAAAGGTGTGACTTGGGGTCCTGAGAGTCCCACCCCCGGATATGCAGTCAGGGAGGTGAGTCTGAAACTTTATTGGCACCGTGTGCCCTCACACCAGATGGGGGCGCACAGGAGGTGCCGGTGGGCTTGGCCTCTGAGACTTCCCTATAGTCCCAGGGGCAGCAGAGGAACTGCTCTTGGGCACGGTCTCCCTCCCAGAGAGCAGATCTGACGTACTCTGTTAGAGCATGCCCAGCCACGGGCCATGGGGATTCAGGCTCGCTGAGACAGGGGGCACTCAGGGGATGCGTGGGGGCTCCTTCCCTTCTGTCTCCTCCTGCTCCTCCCCCTGGGATGGACCACCTGCTCACCTACCCAACAGACATTCACAGTGCATCTGCTGGGGCTGCCGTCCCTAACTCGGGCTGTTGGCACTGGGCACCTGCTCCGCCCTGTGCTACAGTGGGTGGGAGACGCAAGCCCCCTCCAGTCTGCCCCATTGTCCGAGTTCTGGCTGTAATCTAGACCGTTCTGATGGAGGTGGCCCGGAGGCATCTACCTGCCGTGCTGGGGGCCAGCAAGCCCTGAGCGATGCCTGTGACCGCTAGAGCCCACGTTCTGGGTCCGGCCCCCCGTTTTGTGGGTGTGAGTGTCAGCGGTGGCAGTGGCCTCCTGACCACATTGGTCTAATCTTGACCCCAACGGTCTGGTCATGGTCCCTGCCCTCTGCTCCTCCCGACCACCCAGAGATTTAGATGGAAGCCCTTTCTGCTTATGATTCTTGGGACTGTTTTGTTTTCCCTGCTGAGCCGTGACTAAGAGGGATGCTGTTGCTGGCCCAGGGGTCAGGAATGCCCCTTGCACGGACCCGGTGCCTTTGCTCAGAGATCACAGAGAAGCCGGCTGAGCACTGTCATTGGCGCACTGGTTCATGTCCAGGCTCTGGGGATGGAGAATCCCACTGGTGATGCTCCCACAGGCCAGGAGAGAAGACAAGAGCCCAGTAAAAATTCAGGAAGGCAAACAGGGCATGGTCTCGGGATGCGCACACGGGGAATGAGTGCAGCAGGAAGGGGCAAGAAAACCAGGCTCTGGCGAAAAGGCAGTCAGGCATCCCTTGAGAGGGGCTGCATGATACACGTGCCCCACTCCGTGTGTGACAGATAAAACTAGCCACATAGCATGCTCTCCTGCCAGCGGCTGAGCTCAGAGAGCAACTCGGGAGCTTAGCCATACACTGTAGGCCCGTGAGCACGTTCTTCCTGCATCCAGGCCAGACACTGCTAATCAATCACAGCATCACGCCGTGACTTTCCTTTGCTGCGTCCATGGCAGACATCACTAATTGATTAGGTCACTCTTCCCAGGTATGTATCTGTTCTCCAGAATCCTCCAGGACACAGGGCTCCAGGCAGCCACTAGCAAGGGACTGTGGCTGACAAAAGGCATGAAGACTGTCCTCTCCGTGAGAAGCTGTTGGAGTGGGGAAGAAGGAGAGGCCACTGGCAGGACAGGGAGGGGTTTCAGCAGCAGACATGAGCTGGTGTGGACAAGCACAGAAGTCGGGAAGGAGGAGGACATTCTCAGCAGGGGCAGTGTGGGATGCAACCGTCGCTGTCCGAGAGCAGAGGCATGGCGGGGAGGCTGGGAACCCAGGCTGCTGCCAGCCCACAGACCCACAGATATCAGGTGGGTAGGCTGCACAGAGTAGGAGGAGAGCACGGAGTGGGGAGGCTGGACGGAGAGGCTGGATCAGTCTCTCTGTCTCCCTCCCTCTCTCTCTCTCTCTCTCTCTCACACACACACACACACACATCTGGTAGGTGTCCCTGAGTTTCCTCATGCCGAGGGCTGGTGTCCTTCCATCTATCTGGTACAAACATGGACTCTGGCCTTCACACAGCAGCCTGGGGGAAGGTGGCAGAAGAAGCTGGTTAGCCCTAACCTTCCCGGTGAAGCCGAGACCACAGGGACAGCCATTGTACAGGGCAGGGGGTGCACGTGGGGCCACGGTTAGGCTTGCCCCTCTGGCCGGAGTCCTGGCCCTCCCTGAGCATGCTGCCCCCAACGAAGCCTGCCCCTGCTGCTCCACTGCTCTCCTACCTTCACTGGCCATGGTCGGATGGGGGTGCCGTCCCTGTTCATGCAGCACAGGGCAGACATGTAGGCGATGGCTTCCTTGGCCAGCAGGTCCCAGCGGGCATTGTGGCTGAGATTGCCCGTCGGGTCAGCCGGATCCAGGATGATGGGCCTGCAATTGCCATTAGGGTCAGGCTTATTCCTGGTCACATCGGGGTGTCTCCTGAGAGATTGGTTGGACTAGTCTCCTCTCTCAGCCAACACTCTGCACGGGCCACTTCTCCCATCTGCATCCAGGGCAAACATCACTAATCGATCACTGTGTTCATCTGGGCCACACCCTGGCCCCAGGTAGCTGGCATCTGTAACTGATCATGGCACCGGTCCTATCACCCTCCCTTTCTATATCGGTGGCAGATGGCACCACCTCAGAGTCTTTTTCAGCACACCATGCTAAGCTACCCACAGGCTGGAGGTGTGAGCATCTCTGCTCTCTCTGCACCATTTGAGAGGGAGGCAAAATCCCAAAGAATAAGGCATGCCTACATTACCTGGTGGGTTCCCAGGTAGGGCTGCCAGATTGAACAAATACAAGCAGAGGATGCCCAGTTAAATTTGAGTTTTGGATAAACATAAGTCTATCTCGAATGCTGCATGGGATATACTTATCCTAAAAAGTGATTCCTTGTTTATCTGAAATTCGTACTTGACTTGGAGCCTTGCATTTCATCTGGCAACCCTATTTACGGGGGATGAGGAAACGGACTGCCTGTCCCCCAGGTGCTAAGGGGATCCCGGTTAGAAAGGAGCTCGGTCTTAGGAAGAGGATTTTGCTCTCCCTGCTCTGTGCCCTCCGGATGTGGGAGAGTGAGCTACCCCATCTCTGAGACCCCGTGATGGGGGGGAAGGACCAGCACCTGGGCTGCCGAAGCTGCCGGCTCAGGAAGTCTCTGACAGTCTTGTCCTTGTCGTTGTAGTTGACAGTCCAGTAGACACAGAGTTGCTGGTACTGGCTGACCAGCTCTAGGACAGTGCGGAAGCCCTGGGCCATGTTGAACTGGGGGTCCCGGCCGCCCTGCTCCCAGGCGTACACCGTCAGGAGTTCCAGCCCATGCTGGGGGGGGCAGGGAGCCTCTCCCCTTGAGCATCTTGTTGCACTGGGGAATAAGGGGAAAGAGGATGTGTTGGTTCACACTGGCAATGAAGAGGAGCAGGAGGGACCCTTCCAGAGCTGGCAAGCCCACCCCCAAATTTTATGGGGCACCGCCACGTGTCAGACGCCTGGCCGTGCATTATCCCTTCAAGTCCTGTGACGTAGTAGTGACACCAGTCCAATTTTCCAGATAAGCTAAGTAAGGTCCCCCGGGCTGGGGAGCGCCACTCCTTCTGCTCCACCAATCCAGGGTTCTGGCCCCTGCCCCCGCCCAGGACCTCGATGGGAAGGTTGGTGGCAGGGGTGGGGGTTCCTCACGCCGCACCTGCCGGTACCAGTATTTCACCAGTCGGATCAGACTCTTGAGCTTGGTGGGCCGAGAGATGATAAAGTTCCGCTGCAGCTCCGTGAAGCAGGTGGAGAACTCGCCAGCGTGGTTATAGCTGTGGATGAGGTCGACGTAGACTTGAGACGGGGGCCTGTAGCCGGGGACCAGCTGGCCTGGAGAAAGGGATGAGGCCACCATCAGCTCATTCCCCAGAGTCCTGCTGGGGCCAAATGAGCAAGGACATCCAGGACCTCCTACTTGGGCATCTCCCTAACGGCTGGACTGGGACCCTCTGGGGGGCGGCGGGGAGTCCCAGGGTGATTTTAGATGGAGCGCAGACATGGCATGACCCAGCATTAAAATATCTTATTTTCCTTCCTGTCCCCTTTCAACCCTTCCGTTTACCTATCGTGAGGAAAGTCTCAACTGGGAGCTAACACATCCTTCTAAGGGCTCTTGGATGCTTGTTCATGTGTCTCTAACTAAGGGAGAGCCTCGGTCTCAGAGCTTCTGGTAGGACCGCATGCAGCGAGCTGACATCACCCTCTGGTTTCGTTGCCCTTAAAAGCATTCCTTGACATTCAAACTCCTGCTTTCTGGAGAACTGTGTGGCTTTGGATGCTTTTCTGGATGAATCCTTCCTTGTCACTTGTTTTCCCAACCTCGGGAACCAAATACATTCAGATACAGGGGACGTCCTCCTGCAAACTCGCCGAGGCAAACTCAGAACTGAACCGATACTAAGAGGTCTGTGTCTGTTGTGTTCAGGGCTTTATCCTCAGTGCCTGGAGAATGCTGGGCACATACTCGGCACGTTTACAGAACTCATGGATCCTACGGGTCCATGGCAGGTGGAGGAGACGGCGCACAGGTATGTAAAGACGGGATGCAGGGTGACACCCCGATACCTGCATCATCAGGTGAAGGAAGACCTTGGTGCTCGAGGCAGGGAAGTCCCTCACTCAAGGTCAAGCACCATGTTGGTGCAACTGCTGACACTACGACCCAGCCCAGAGCCACCATGAGGCCACATAACACTGTTGCATGAATTCGAGAAAGGTGTCCTTTTCTCCAGACACTCTGCAGGAGGGTGATGATAAACATGCCTATGTATAAGGCCTATGCTGTGAGCGGGTGTGCTCTGGTTGTGCAATGCACCACCCCGAACACCGTCCCTGGCAGCCCAGCCTCCGTTTTTCCCCTTCTCAAGACGATGCCTGGGTACCTCACCTAAGGCGTCAAAGGCTGGCAGCACATCAAAGTCCACACTCTGATCCAGCATCGTCTGGGACGTCAGGGAGAAGCTCAGCACGCGGGAATTCTCCCACTTGGGGATCTCGAACTTCACCTCGAACTGCATCTCCTGCTGACATGCCTCCAGCTGGGCTCGGATCTCTGAGATGACCTCAGTCCGCTTGGTGCCCTGCTCAGTGAACTGGCTGAAGCAGTTGAGGAACACCACTAGATCCGCATCCGAGCGGCCTCGCAGAGCCGTGCCTTTGGCTAAAGAGCCGCCCTGGGGAGGACACAGAGGTGGCTTGACCCCTGAAGGGCTCCTGCTAGAGCCTGTGGGTCAGAAACTTGCTGTGTGACCTCGGACAAGTCACCTAACCTCTCTGTTTCACCTCTTTCATATGGGGTTAATATGTAGTATGATTATGAGGAAAAGAAATGTTCAAGACAGAAGTTTAAACCTTTCAACAAATGTAAACTTTCTCATCCCATCAAGTTTGGGGGCTGGGAGAGATCTGAGAGATTTTTTTTCTTTTTTCTTTTTGGCCTGTGGCTCTCAAGCCTATCTGCATCAGGAGAGTTTTTTTAAAAAAATGACTGATGTCTGGCTCCTATGCCCCGGAGACTGTGATTTCATTGGCCTGGGAGGGAGACTGAGTATCAGTATAATTTTTTAAGTGGCTCTAAGTGAGGCCATGGTGGACAACCAGTGAACCAGGTTATCATCTTCAAGTATTATGGACGAGAAAGATAAGGATCAGAGAGGGGAAGGTATTTGCCTGCGGTCACACAGCAAATCACCAGGGACTTTTCATTGACTGACTCCATGCTGACCATCTTCTGGAGCTGACCTGGGTCTCACTTGTGACTTCAGTTGTGGATTGAGGTTGTATCTAATATAGTGGATAATGTGACTTCTTAACACAGAGCATCCCTTCTGTCTTCTGGGATTACCATCCCAGTTTTCTCTGGGGAATCACTCCTCCCCCACATTCAGGTCCATGTGGAGAGGACTCCATCATATGAGCCAGGCTTGGCCAGTCAGAGCATGTCTCCCTGGCCCGCCGGATTAGTTTGGGGATGGGTATAAATCCCAGTCAGGCCAATGAGACTCAATTCCAAGACTTCTATTTGAACTTTAAAAAAAACAGAATTCCCTTTTCTGGAAGTTTAGAGATGCCAAGGACCATCATATGGAAAGGGCCTGTCCAAAACAGAAGATGGCAGAGCCAAGAGCTGGGATGAAAAGCTGAGTCCTGATGACCCTGCATGGGCTCCTAGATCGAACTGTTCCTGATAAGGCTTTCCATTTGCATCAGCTAATATATATATTTTTTGTTCCTCCTTTTGAGTTAGTTGTCACAAGCAACCAAAAGAGATGTGTTGGACATGTCTGGGTCCTTTCTCTGCCATCCACCCACAACCACATTCTGGTTTCTCTTCTAGGCTTGGCCTTGTGCTGATTGTCATAAGGATGATAGAAGTGAGTCAGGCCAGGCCCCGGTCTAGGAAAGATCACCAGCCTGCAGGACCCTCCTTGCAGTCCCTCTGGGGACTTACCTTGACCACCTTGAGCACTTTGATGGCAGAATTCCGGAAGCAGTTTTCCCTCAGAAATGAGCAGATGGCATCGACGGCCTTGTTCACCTGAGCCAAGAACTGGCGGTTGGGCTGGAGAAATTCACCGATGAACTTGTCAAGGTCCCCAGCTGGGGTTTGGTAAAGGAGAGCAGGCTATGGAAAGAATCCGGGTAGGGCCAGCTTGAGGCAGGATTCCCTGTGACTGTCCTGGCCCTAAATCTTGATATCCTAAGCGGATGAGATTCTCACTATCTCCCATAACCTTTTACTTTCTCAGATGGTTGGTAGGTCTCTGTGGTAGCATCTGCAGGACCTGAGTTCAAGTTCTGGATCCATCACCAACACACAGCCTTGGTGTCCCCACTTTATTTATTTATTTTTAAAGATTTTATTTATTTATTTGACAAGCAGAGATCACAAGTAAGCAGAGAGGCAGGTGGGGGCGGGGAGCAGGCTCCCTGCTGAGCAGAGATACCATTGCAGGGCTCGATCTCAGGACCCTGAGATCATAACCTGAGCCAAAGGCAGAGGCTTAACCCACTAAGCCACCCAGTCACCTGGTCTCCCCACTTTAAATGGGGGCAAGAACAAGGCCCATGCCTCACAGGCTGAATTGAATATTAGGCACTGGTTATGAGATCCTGCTGAACAACAGCAAATGCGATAAACTCAACATCCCTTTGGGAGCTGGCTATCATCTTAAGTGGGGTTCCCTAGAAGCAGAGCCCATGATGGGGATTCCTGTGCATGGATTAACTGGGGCTGGTGTCTGCAGGAGAAGGGGGGGTGGGGGAAGTAGAAGAGGGCCAGGGAAGGAACTAAGTAAGGCTCCAGCTGGAGAAAGCTTCTGTTGATCCCCCGAGGAACACTGGACTAAGAATTACATCACAGAGCTGGCCTTACCTTCAAACAAGGGTGGGCCTTTTGTATCCCACATCACTCACGCATTGGCTGGGACCGAACCACCTATGTCTCAGTGGCCAGGCATCATCAGTGACCTCTCCCAGCAGCTGGGGATGTGTGCACCAGCAGGGAAAGGCGATCTGGGAAGGGGGGCCCCAACACCATCCGCCACTCCAGGGACTCCCCTCTTACCATCACATCCCAGGGCTGCACAGACGTCCCTTTTCCACTCCTAAAGCAGACCTGTGTCCCCAGAGCTGCTGCTTCCTGGGCCAACAGCTCCCAGCTGCCCTGGCCCACATTCCAGGTGGGGTCAGCAGGATCCAGGACCAGGGGCCTGTGGGCAGAGTGGGTGGACAGGCAGGTGGGGAAGGTGGGAATCAGTGAAGGAGCAGGGGGGTGGGAGAGACTAGGGAAGGGTGTGGGAGCTGGGGAGAAGGAGAAGAGTGTCAGGACCTTAGGGTTGGCCCAGTCTCCCTTAAGCACGGTAGTAGGGTTCCTGCCTGGCCACCTAACTCAGGAAGGTACTGGGTGGTCTCTTAATTTCAGAAATGGTATTTTATTTTGTTAATGAAACTGGCCTTGGCTTCTTTGGGGGCTCCTTGTGTCCATGCTTCCTCAGGAAAGAGTTTGGAAGGAAGCACAGTGACAAGTGGGGTTGGGGCACCCAGGTCCCACCCTGGACCCTTCCTGGACACAATGACTCCAGGGCGACAATGGCGGAGGTGAAGGATGATGGAGGGAAGGCAATGGGGAAGTGGGTCTGCACCTCTTTTTCTGAAGCTGGCCAAGAAGGTGTGTTCTGATAGCCGGGTCCTCAAAGCTATAGTTGACTGTCCAGTAGACACAGAGCTGCTGGTGCTGCTGGATAAGTTCTAGGACGGTCTTTAGGCCTTCGGCCATTTTGAAAGAATCTTTCCCGCAGCCTTGCTCCCAGGCGAAGATGGTCAGGAGCTCCAGAGCATAGACTGGGGGCAGAGAGGCACAGGCTGGCTGCTGTCCTTTGTTCTGAGCTGCGACCTATGTCACCCAAAGCCAATCAAAGAATGAGTGGACATGAGCATCTTACTATGTGCTAAGCATGGCCCCAGGGACTTGTAGAGGGAGGGGTATATAAAAACAAAGCCACGTTAAAAATCGAACCCTTCTGATTTTACAGGTGGATAAACTGAGGTCTGGGTGGGGGAGTGACTTGTCCAAGGTCACACAGTGACCTAAGACTAAGAATCTCAGACTTGGTCTTTGCCTGGAGTCTCTCCTCAAAGGGTGTAAAGGCATGGGGGCTGCAATATCTTCAGCTTGGGATGCCAACATCTGTCACCATAGTGACGTAAGCAGCAGTGGATGCTCAGTAGGTGTTTGTTGAATGAGCACATGACCGCGAGGGCTTTCAGAGAAGTGTTAGGTGGGGCCGCTCTGGAAGATGCTCAGGGGTTATTTAATACAAATTGCACAGAGGACAGTGATGGTGGAACAGCATAAGCTAGGGCTCGGGGGGTGGGGGGGCAAGGGAGAGCATTAGCAATGGGAGGAGCGAGGAGAAACTGATCAGCTAGAGAGGGGTGGTGAAACCAACCACAAGAAACAAGCACTGGGGGTGTGATGGAGAAAAGACTTCCTCTTAGAGATGGGCTTCCCGTCTGGGCAGGAAGTGGAGGATGGAGATGGAGGAGGTGGTCCTTCTACTGGGGATGGCCAATAAGAAGCGAAGGAAGGGAGATGTCTGCCCAGGAGAGGAGCTGATTGGCTGAGGCAGCTGCCATGACAGCAGCTGCTTCCCGAGAGGAGCAAGGGGGTCTGGCAGCCTCACCTGACAGTACCAGTGCTTCACCAGCAGAATCAGGTTCTTCAGCTTGGCCGGCCGAGTGTTCACAAAGTTCCTCCGCAGCTCTGAGAAGCAGGCCGCGTGCTCGCCGCCCTGGCAACCGCTGCTGAGGAGGGTCGAGTAGACCTGGGGCGCGGGTTTGGCGCCAGAGCAGAGCTGCCCTGTGGAAATTTGAAACACTCTGAGGGCAGAGCTCTAACGAAGACATCTGCATGTCCCAACCCAGCCACTCACCAGCCTTTATTAATATTTGAACGTTGATTACATAGCACTGCAATCAACAATACACAATGTACAACAGAACAGCAATCAGGACTCTTTTTTTAAGCACCAAATACGTGCCGTGCTTTTTAGTAATTTTCACTAATGCACCCAATAACTCTGCAAAGTGGGGGATCTTGACCCCAGACAAGCTATGTAGCACAGCGGGTAAGGGAATTAGTCTCCAAGGCACAAGCTGGAGGCAGCCCTCACCCACGGCGTCAAAGACTGGCAGCACGGTCACATCCATCCAGCTTTCTAGGGCTGTGGACACCAGCTGGAACTGCAAAGCCCCGGGCACGGTCCGCTCAGGAAACTTGAGGCTCAGGCCAGGGACTGGGTCCTGCCACCCGGATTCCAGCTGTGCCCACATCTCACTAAGGATCTGTGGGCGGCGGGCGCTTTGGTCCTTGTAGTCGTTGAAGCAGTTGAAGAAAATGACAAGTTCGGCATCGCAGCCACCCCTCAGGTCTGTGCCCCGGCCAAAGGAGCCCCCCTGCAGAGGAAGGACCATCTCAGACCCGCCAGTGTCCCTGAGCTCAGGGGTCAGACTCTAACCCCAACTGCTGGCCCCCATCTGTGGCCCAGACGTGACTGGCTCACTGAGGCCAGGACCGGGGACACCACGACAGAGGCAGGCTGCACGAGGGCTGTGACCTCTGACTCCTGGAAGCCTGGCGGAGTCTGACTACACCTGTCTGCACCTGCCCTCTGACCCCCGGGGCCCTGCACAAAATCAGACCAACCTACAGCAACAGATAACGGGGGGCGGGGGGGGGGGCGCAGTATTAAAGATTTTAGCCTAACATCTGCAGCACCTACAGACTGCACATCGGGACCACAGGTTGCAAATTGAGGTCCCAGGGCCAGATGGGGCCTGCAGATGTGCTCTGTTGGCCTGTTTCGATCAACCCACCAATCCATCCATCTATCCATCCATCCATCCATCCATTCATTCATTCAACACTTATTTATGGAGCACTCAAGTGTACCAAGATATGGGAGTACATAAAAGGTCCCAGCTCTCCCGGAATTTATATTCTAGCAGAGGGGGGAAGAGGGAAGGACAGTCAGCAGACAACAGCTCCCAGAAAATGCTAAGTGCTGTGTGGAGGCAAATCGGTGAGGAAGGGGGACCAGGGGTGGAAGGGAGGTTGTAATTGTAAATCGAGCAGTCAGGCCTCTGTGAGAAGGGGACTTGGGTCCCAGACTTACAGGAGGGGAAGGAGCCAAGTGGATCAGAGGAAGAGCCTTCCAGAAAGAGACACCAGGATGGTGTAAATGAAGATCAGAGAAAGACCCAGGACCAGATCCTACGGGCCGTGAAGCCATTTCTCTCTGTGAAACTGCAGAGGATTTTGAGCAGAGGAGGGAAGCGGTCTGATTATGGTAACAGCAGTTTAAAAAACTATCATTAAAAATTTTTGAAAAGCTGGCACTCAGATATACACCTCGGAGGGCGGCAAACTCCCCTTCCGCGGATGTCCACCTGCCTGCCGGCCCTCTGCTCCTTCCCCTCCTCACTGTGGTGCCCCAGGATGGTCCCATCAGTGTCTCCCCCCACAGACTCACCTTGCTGACTCTCGAGGCCTTGTAGACACACTTCTCACGAAGGCAACTCAAGATGACATCGATGGCCTTGCTGACCTGCTTCTGGAACTGGGGGTTTGGTTTCAGGTGGTCCTGGACGAAGCGGTCCAGGTCCTTGGCAGCAATCTGGGACAGATCTGAAGCCGTCCCCAGCGTGGAAGGGATGATGCTGGCTGCCCCCGAGGGGTCAGGAGCTGGGCCTGAGGGCCGCTTGCCCCCAGTCCTGGGGCGCACAGCATGGAGACTGTGGTTCTCCTCAGGGGGCCTCTGGGCAGAGTCTCGCTGGATGGGGTGGTCTAAACCTGCGGCCCCAGCACGTGGAAGGCGCTGGAAGTGTGTAGAAGGAGTTGTCTTACAGGCATAGAAGTTTCCCCATCCCTTCTCTCACCAGCCCACTCCCAATGGACAGTCAGGGTGACTGAGACTCAGAGTGGGAAGCGGGAGGACCACCACTAGCCCATACGGTGCCTTTTGTGCAGATTAGAAAAGGATGTGCTTGCAGATGGGATCTGTTCTAGAAAGGACCCCTGTGCAGGGGGGACACGGTGTGGCCAGCAGACAATAAGCCCGTGCACACAGAGGTGTCCCACCAAGCAGCCTGGGCTTGGTGAACAGCTTGTTCGCGTGTCCGCACCCCCACTCCCCACTCTGTCCCCCACCCCGGGGCCTCAGAGCCCAGTGGATGATGCTCAGGAAACACTGCGCCCCTGAAGCAGGTGTGGCTTTACACCTAACAAGGATCCCCAGAGCCCCTCACTCACAAGCCCCTCCCAGGGCTGCACAGCGCCCCCTGCCGCCTGCAGAAAGCACGGGCGCTCGTAACAGGACCCTGCCTCCTGGGCCAGTATATCCCAGCGCCAGGCTGCACCGTTCCCCACATCCCACGTGGGGTCAGCTGGGTCCAGGATCACAGGCCTGCAAAGCCAGAGGACAGGAAGGTTCTGGTTAGTACAATGGTCAAGTTCGGGGCTTCTGAGGTCAAGCCGAGCTGGTGCCAATCCCTGCTCTTCTACTTCCCAGCTGTGGGACCTGGGGTCAATGACTTCCCCCCTCTGACCCCGTTTCCTTTTGTGCAAAACGGGGATGACAACAGTGCCTCCTTCGGTGGGCTGTTATTAAATCAGGGCAACTTAGATAAGAGTCCTCAACTCTAGATGCACATTAGAATCGTAAGACAGAAGGGTTAGGGTTAGGGTTAGGGTTAGGGTTAAGGTTAGCCATCTCTTTCCTCCGCGTGCTTCCAACCGGGCATGCGCACAGAAGCACACGTACAAGGCGGCTCTGACCAACCCTCTCCTAGCAGAAACCGCCCATGTCCACCATCAGCGCACTGGGAAGCGGAGTGTGATAAATCCCCACAATGGAACACGATTCAGCTGCACGAAACAATGCACAGCAATCAACAACACACACGAAGATGCGGCAGAACCTCACAAACTTAACGTTGAGGAAGAGACGCCAGACACAAAAGCATGTGCCCTCTGATTCCCTTTCAGTAAGATTTTAAAAGAGACAGGACTGGGAGGGTAACAGTCAGAATGGGGTCACCCCGGGGATGTCACTGAGCAGGAGAGAGGAAAGGGAAACTCCTGGGGCGCTGGAAATATTCTCCCTTGATCTGGTGGTGGTTTCCCCGGACCTTCACTTTATACTAAGTCAACAAAAGGGGCCCTTTGGATGGGTATGCTGTGGGTAGCTAAAATGTTCACCACACAGTATGTTCACACAAGAAAAATCTTTTTTAAAAACTGCCCCGAGGGCGCCTGGGTGGCTCAGATGGTTGGGCGTCTGCCTTTGGCTCGGGTCATGATCTCCAGGTCCTGGGATGGAGCCCCACATGGAGCTCCCCGCTGAGCAGGAAGTCTGCTTCACCCTTCCTCTGCTTCTCCCCCTGCTTGTGCTCTCTCTCTCAAAGGAATAAATGAAATCTTTAAAAAAAAAAAAAAAACCTGCCCTGAGAGGGGAGCCTGGGTGGGTCAGTCAGTGAAGCCTCTGCCTTCGGTTCAGGTCATAATCTTGGGGTCCTGGGATCGAGCTACATATCAGGCTTCCTGCTCCACAGGAAATCTGCCTCTCCCTTTGCCCCTGCACCCCTCCTTGTGCTCTCTCTCTCTCTCTCAAATAAATAAAATCTTTAAAAACAAAACTGCCCCAAGGGATTGCAGTTTCCCTCGGGCCGAGTCCGAGGGACTAGGAACAGCACGGGCGGCGCCTGGCTCCGGCCCCCACAAAGGCCCGCAGGAGAGGAGACTTTTTTTTTTTTTTAACATTTTACTTATTTATTTGACAGAGATCACAAGTAGGCAGAGAGGCAGGCAGAGAGAGAGGAGGAAGGAGGCTCCCCACTGAGCAGAGAGCCTGACGCGGGGCTTGATCCCAGGACCCTGAGATCATGACCTGAGCCAAAGGCAGAGGCTTTAACTCACTGAGCCACCCAGGCACCCCAAGGAGACTTATTTTATCGTTGCTAATGATCTCCCATGGCCCCCAGCCCAGGAGAGTGGGGAGGGGGCTGTGGGGAGGTACCTGGGTCTCTCGAGCTGCTGCCTCAAGAAGCGGCTGACCGCAGCGTCCTCAAAGCCATAGTGCAGGGTCCAGAAGACACACAGGTGCCGATACTGCTGGATCAGACCCAGCACGGTCCGCAGGCCTTGGGCCAGGCTGAAGGCATTCATCCCGCAGCCCTGCTCCCAGGCGAAGATGGTCAGCAGCTCCAGGGCATAGGCTGGAGGCAGCACCTCCCTCCTTGCCTCCTCCCGGCACACCTGTGAGAGGGTGAATCGGAGGGGAAGGAGAGAGCTTTCTGTAGAACTTGGCTGGATCGCTCAGTCTTGGGGCTGCAGGAGCCCAGAGGCTGAAGCTGGGGACGAGAGGCTGGGTTCTAGGAGCAAACTGATCTTTCTCAGCCGCCCCCACTCCTGGAGCTTCAGAGACTCCTGGAGCAGTCAGAGAGAGGCTAGCGGGCAGTGTGAGGCTCTTACTGATTCCCCCAAATGAAAGCATGGCAGAAATTGTCCAGAGTCAGAGGGCAAGTCAGTGGCTGAGCAAGGATGGCTATCCAGCACCTCCTCATACCAGACTTGCTTTAGGATGAGTGGTCTGGCACAAGGACCAAGCTACATGCCCTACGATTTTGTGGGGCTGACCCCTCCTCTCCAGGCACAGGCTGGGCACTCCTTCCTTCATACACAAGGGTCTATCCACAAACATGAATATTTTGGAAGAAGGGTGTTATTCCTGAGGCTGGGATGGGAGGTGTACAAACTCCACGTTACTTCATACCATACATAAAATATTCCAGATAGTTCCAAAGCCTTGAAACCACAGGAAAAGAAAAATCTTAAAACCTTTCCAAAGGAAACACGGAAGAATGATTTTAGAAAGTCAGGATAGGCAAAGCCTTCTTACACAAGACACAAAGTACAAATCACGTAAGAAAAAGATGAGGGCACCTGATTCCATTAAAATTCAAACATTTTCTGTGACAAAAGACCTATGAACAAAGTGAAAGTACCAGCCTGGGATTAGAAGAACAGATTTGCATTATATCAACACAATAAGGGTTCGCACCCAGAATATATAAAGAGTTCCAACAAACCAACAACAACAAGACAGCTAATGCGGTAGAAAATAATAAACAAATGACAGGAACAGGCAAGTTCCCATAAAGAGACACGTGAATGGCTGTGAAGCCTAAGAAAATATTCTCGCTGGCATGAAATCACAAATTTAAACAGTCACGAGTGCCTGGTGCAAGGACCCTCGGTGGCAGCCTCACCTGACGGTACCAGTGCTTCACCAGCAGAATCAGGTTCTTCAGCTTGGCCGGCCGAGTGTTCACAAAGTTCCTCCGCAGCTCTGAGAAGCAGGCCGCGTGCTCGCCGCCCTGGCAACCGCTGCTGAGGAGGGTCGAGTAGACCTGGGGCGCGGGTTTGACGTTGGAATTGAGTGGCCCTGGGGGGTGGGAGGTGCTGTGAGTCAGGATAGGTTCTGAGGCACAGGATGGAGACACTGGGGGGAATCTGGTGGCAGGGGATCCACAGCATGGGAGTTTGGAGGATGAGGAAGAGAGCCTGGAGCTTCTCAGGAGGCTGAGACCAGAAGGAGGAGTCCCTTCCTTCCAAACCTAGGGCCAGGCTGAAGGAGGGCAGCCGTAGGAGCGATGCTTCCAGCTGGGTCGGGAGTGCCTAGAACCTCGCAGTTCTTCCCTCCCCGAGGCTTCCTGCGGCAGCGCTAGAATAACTCCGAACATACCTTTAATTAATCAGTGCCTTAGGGAAAGGAAATGAAGCTGGACAAGTAGAAGGCAAAAGGTCCTGATGCTTTAGCAGCGAGCAACGGCTAATATGTCTGACTGCGCCCAACACGCCAGACAGGCACCAGGCTGAAAGTTTCACGTGAGTCCCCCAGAGCCCCACCAAAACCCGATCGGGCAAGTAGTCTTCACCTCATTTCACAGCTGAGGACCCCAAGGCACAGAGTCACTCAGGACTCTTCCCAAAGTTACACAGCCGGCCAGTGATGGAGACAGGATGGAAACCTAAAGCGGGCCAGCTTCACAGTCTGTGCCTTTCCCTCCACAGCTTCCCGTGGGCCCGGCCTGGGAAAAGTAAGCACACTCCGTAATTTCCCAGGCTCCTGACGCCGCCTACTTGCTGTGTGACTTTGGGTGAGTTACTGTCTCTGTGCTTCAGCGTGCCTCTTGGTGAAAAGGAAGCTAAGACAGTACAGGCCCCATCAGTTTGTTTGGAGTGAGATAAAAATATGTCAGGTGCTTGGAATAGGGAAGCATTTAATAAGGAGTAGCTATTGTGGTTAATGTTTATGTACCAAGAGGGTGGGTGTCCAGATGGGGGAGAGTGTGGCTCTCTGCCAGGACCTCATAACTGGAGAAACTCAAGAGGGCTATCTGCAGGGGCATCATGGTTAATAATAATAATAGTGGAAAATGAGGAGGAGGAGGAGGAGGAAGGGGAAGGGGAGGAGGAGGAGGGGGGAGGGGGAAGGGGGAGGGGGGGAGAAAAGGGAGGGAGAGAAGAAGAGAAGCAAGCCCTCATACAGCCCCACCATGTGCCCAGTACCGTCATCCCATACATGAACACACAGTCTTTCCAAAAACTCTATAAAATGGATAACTAGGGTCCCATTATTATTAATCCCATTTTATAGATGTGGGCACAGGGGCTCATTATTATATTAAATCAGGCATGGGTATAATAGGAAGGAGATAGATCACGCAAAGATCACATTGATGCTTTTAAGATAAAAGACAAGACTTTGCAGAATTCTGGCCTTGTCCCCAGCCCCCTACTGCTGGACGCATGCCCCTTTGCCTTCTCCTTAGGGGTATTTGTGGAAGAGCTGAGCAGTACAGTTCTAGGCAGTGGCTGAAGGAAAGTTGCTTAAGCAAGGGCCAAGCATCTGGACACCAAGACCACAGACCCAGGAGCAACTGGGCTTTCTTGGCCCAGACTCAGTATGGGCAGTAAGGACACCAGAGCCCAGAGACGGTTCCCCAGGCCACACAGAAGGTCGGGGGCGGCTGGGGGTGGGTGGGCGGGGTGGGACAGGACCCAAACTGGAAGCTCTGTCTTACTCCTAATGAGCACACTCCCAAGCCTGGAAAGGGCCAGGCACCCCTCACCCAGAGCGTCAAAGGCCGGCACCAAGCTGACATCCATCCAGTGTTCAAGGTCCGAGGATGCCAGGCGGAACCATAGGACCCCAGGCCTGTCCTGCCAAGGAAACTCGAAGCTCAGACCATGGAAGGGTTTCTGCCACCAGGATTGTAGCAAGGTCTGCAGCTCGCTGAGGATCTCTGCCCGGCGAACACGCTGATCCTCGTAGCTCTTGAAGCAGGTGAGGAAGAGGACAAGTTCGGAATCACAGCCACCTCTCAGAGCCGTGCCCCGGCCGTCAGAGCCTCCCTACAAAGAAAGGGGAGACCGCGGGCACACAGCTCCTGGCATTCGACGCCATGCAGAGAGGCACGTTGAGCACAGCCAGCCCTGCGTTTTCGAGAAAAGCCAACTTCATTTACAAATCCTTCATTTCTAAATGTTGGCAACTGATGTCGACCATTGTTGTGAGTTCAAAATTTTAAAGTTTTTTTAAAAATGAAAACTGTGGGTGAAACAAATTCTGTTTTGCAGAACACATTTGTGACCTTTGCCTAGGATGTGGTCCAGAGCTATAATAGGACCCCCTGAATTTTCGGGACTTTTCTGACAGGTGTTTCTTCCTGTAAAGCCGTCCACCGAGGACTCGGGAAGGAAACACACACGATCAGAATCTACCCCCTGTCAAATGTCTGCCAAACCATAATTTCACTTCCAAGCAATACCCCTGAGGTGGTTTCCTTGTGGTTACACAAGACAGGGAGGTTGGAGGGGTGAGTTGAGTAACAGCCAGAAAAGACCAGAACCAGGGTTAGCCCTCCAGGGGCACCTCCCCCACCAAGCTGGGATCGCTCATTACCCCAATGGTATCCCAGTTCCTTTGTCGCCAGCTCCTCACATCGGGGGCTGCCAACCAAGGGGTAACGGGACAGAGCAAAGAGAAATATTGCAGACTGAGCTCTTTTACACACGATCATCTCGCTGAGGCTCCCTAACAAGCCTGGGAGAAAGGTATCACCATTGCTCTCACTTGACCAAGGAGGAAATGGGGGAAACGAAAGTGCAAGGCAGGTTGCTTAGTAACTCCCCGCCCAGAGAGGCGGCACCGGGTGCTTTGAACTCAGGAGGTCAACTCTGGGAGGTCCGAGGTCCCGCTCCAAGCCTACATTCCTCATGCACCCCTCCCCCTTAGATTAACTCACTAAAAAATACTGTTTATTGTGAACGTTTCTAAACCTACACAAAAGAAGAAAGGGTTGTAAAGAAGACCTTTGCCACATTTGCTCCATTAATTCGACCCCTCTTTTCTTCCTTATGCGATTTATTTATTTTTTTAAATATTTTATTTATTTATTTGACAGACAGAGATCACAAGTAGGCAGAGTCAGGCAGAGAGAGAGGAGGAAGCAGGCTCCCCATGGAACAGAGAGCCCGATGCAGGGCTCGATCCCAGGACCCTGGGATCATGACCCGAGCTGAAGGCAGAGGCTTAACCCACTGAGCCACCCAGGCGCCCCTCTTATGTGATTTAAAAAGAAATTCCTGCACTGTGTCATTTCATCTTGAACATGGTGGTCCCCAATGGGGGGCTGGTGGTGACATTTGTCCCAGGGGACATTTGGCAATGCCAAGAGATGTTTTCGGTGGTCCTAGCTGGAGCAGGGGAGCCCCTTCATGTTGGCCCTGGGGGAGGGGTGTCTTCTGACAGGACTCCAGAGACGTCTTCCTTGCTTTCTGGTCTACCTAGAAGCCCCAGGCTCATGTCGCACATCTTACCCCCACCCTGGAATCAGCCATTCTTCCAAGGAGCCCCTTCCGCAGGGAGCAGCATCTCAAGACTGGAAAGGTAGCCCGTAGCCCTTACCTACTTCACCATGGCCTCCTTCAAAGCCTGGAACGATCAGAAGGCCATAAGCTACATTTAGCCACGAGAGCTATTTCCAGATTTTCCAGGGAAGCGAAGGATGCCAAAGCTTTAGAGGTTCCTAAATTCTTGCTCCAAAGAAATTCTTCCTGTCCACCTCCAAGGCAGAAATCTACCTCCACATCTCATAGGCTTCGAGTCTCTCCTTCTCCTTCCCCTTTCCTACCTCCCAAGCCAAGCCTCAGCCCTAGGAAACCACCAGCTGCTCTGGGGTCATCCCCTGCTCATCCCTTCCCGGACAAGCTCCAAGTCCCCTCTACTCCAGCCAGCTTCTCCTGATGCAACCCTGGTGCCCCTGAGTTTGTGCTGAGGGTCTCGTGGGTGACGCCCATCTCCTCCCTGAGTTTGCGGGCATCCTGAGGTGACAAAAAGTGGCCTACGGCAGTGGCTCAACCACATCCAGTCCCAGTTTCTGAAGTCCTAAAACAGGGACAATAATCCCCACCTCACTGAATGTGAGGATTAAGCGAGATGACTCATTTAATGAGACGATTATTGTTATTGGGTAGTTTCTCAGTAAATTAGGCTATTATGGCTATTATAGCTGTTATAGAATACCTGTGATTCTGCACCCTTAGGATCAGGCTGTGGTGTGAGGACTGGAGTCTGTCTGGACCAGGTGAAGGACTGAGTGAATCAATGAATTTTGGATTTTTTACAAGCGCGGAAACATTATTTCATCTCTGTGCCTCAGTTTCCCATGTGTCAGGTGGGGTTAATTGTCCCTACCCGGCGGGGCTGTGGTGTGCTATTTTCAAGGCATACGCTGGAGCATAGTGCGTGTGTTGTTCAAATCTCAAAGACATGAATGAAAAGAGCCAATAGAAACCATTCCTGTCCGCGAAGCCCGAGGTAATGTGCCAACATCCTCCGAGGATTGCTCCTGTTTCTAGGTGACACCCCCCACCCCTTCCCAAGGCGCCTACCTTGGCGATTTTCAGCACCCTCCAAGGCTGGGCAGCCGCGCGGCCCCCGCGCTCACGCAGGGAGGCTGCCAGGTCGCCCAGGGTGCGCCGCGCAGCCGCCAGGAACTCGGAGGACGGCATCAGGTTGCGGGCCACCAGGCTGTCCAGCGCGGCGGCGGGGGTGTGGTACACGTCCATGGCCCGGCTCAGGTACCCCGGTGCGCCCCGGCTTCCCTCTCGCGCTCTGCGCGCCCCCCGGTGCCTGCAAACCTCAGGCCTCCTCGGCTCTGCGCGCAGAGGCCGGGGGTGGGGCGGCATTGTTGCCCCAGCCTGCCCACGCGTCCCTCCTTCCGAACCTCGCAGACATGCCACTCCCCTCCCGCTTTCAGTTTCATTTCTTTTCCGCGGCTCCGGACTTTTGCACACACTTCCGCCTTTCAGCCCCAGGCCTGGTTTCTTTTCCTCCGCCTCCCGGCTTCCAGCACTGGGCCCGCCTCCCCTGGACCCGCCCGCCCCGCACCGCCGCCAGCTCCAGGGAACAGCGCACGCCTGAACGAGACGCCTGGACAGCAGCAGGTGCACAGAGCGCAAGCGCTCTCACCGAACCACAGACCCTGAGCATTTAAGAAACGTGCAGGATTCACGGGAGGACGTGGTCACATATCCAGCTGAGCAGCCTGGAGGAGCCCGTTTCCTCAGAGATCCCCTGGCTGGCTCTCTGGCTGAAGGAGGCATTCCAAACATCCCCACTAACAAAGAAAACATGCAGAACAGGTGTCCCTCCTGCTTTTCGTCCATCCTCCCATTGAGTTCTCCCAACAATCAGGATGTAATTGTTATTCTTTTTTTTTTTTAAGATTTTATTTATTTGACAGAGAGAGAGATCACAAGGAGGCAGAGAGGCAGGCAGAGAGAGAGGGGGAAGCAGGCTCCCCGCTGAGCAGAGAGCCCCCGATGTGGGGGCTCAATCCCAGGACCTTGAGATCACGACCTGAGCGGAAGGCAGAGGCTTAACCCACTGAGCCACCCAGGCGCCCCTGTTTCGTTTTTTTAATCCTTGTTGCCTCTCGTGGTGTTTTCCTACATAGGACAGGCACAGTGTCAATGTCTCTTGAATGAATGAAATTAGGACCATTTTTTTTTTAGACTTCAAGCGTATCATTCTGGAGTCCCTCTGTAAGAATTATTTTAAGGAGGAGAAAGGAGGAAGGAAGTTCAGCGTAGAAGATGCCTCACACAATACTACATTTTATGACGTTATAAAGCTACGAGGGGAGTTAAGTCTCTTTGGGCACCTGCACAAAACGAGGAAGTTGCTCCTCTACCCAGTGGACCAGCACCTGAGCTCGTTCCCAGTCCATCTCCTCCTCCCTGTTGCTCAAAACTTCACTAGTCCCCTGTCTCATCGCTCAGGGTTATACTCTGATTCGGAGTGTATCTCCAGCAGCAATGAATGTTAATGAGGACTTCCTGAAGTCTGCCTTAACCTAAAGGGAACAGAGGGTGAACTTCAGAGTTCATAGTGAACCAGAGGAAGAGGTGCCAGACTACCACTGTGTGCACCGGGTTTGTATTTTGGGGAGTGAGTGGCACATCCCTGGGAGGTATTCAAGTGTAGGAAGAAGATGGTTTTGTAGGCTTGATGTTGTGGACGGGTGTTGGGGGGCTTCAAGCTAGGTGCCCTCAGCCATAGAGCCCTGGTTTCATGCTCTCCCATCCATTAGTCATCTTCTTGATTCACAGGTCACTTTAGAAATCCCCCACGGGGGAATGGTATCCTGTACACGCCCATGAGATTCTACCCAAATGACAGCAAAGATATGTTAAAAGTATTGTGCGGCTCACTCAATGGATTGGAAATCAAGAAAGATCGCCGTCAAGGGACCAGAACATTTGAGGGATGTTGAGAAAGGAGAAAGCAGAGGGTCAAGATTTTGGATGAAGATGGGCTGCTCACGTCCACAAGCCTTCAACTACTGCCCTAGACTCCAGAAATCACAGGGAAGGATGAAGAAAATGTACTTATGTTGCTGGACCCTGAGTCGAAGCACCACTGGTGAGCAGAAGCTGTGAGACCCCTGACCCAGGGGCAGGATGGGATGGAGGAGGAGAACTTAGGTCTGAAACACGGAAGGAAGAAAGTGCTTCTGCACGTTGGGGAGGGCTCTGAGGAGCTGGAGGGAGGGAGGGACTCAGAGGGGTGAGCAGGGAGGGCTTTGTGTGGGTGGCTGGGAGCGCTAACTCTGGTCTTCAAAGGTGAGATTACTTTAAAATTCCTCTTTTCTTGAGCTGGGGGGACCTCAGCATCAATTCTGGACCTCCAGCTTCATACCACACGTTTCCTCGCTTTGCCGGCCTTCTGGCTGTGCCCTCATCTCTGTGGACTATAAGTTACTTTTCTCAGTTTCATTTCCTTGCCAGGAAGTGGGGCAAGACCTCTGAGAATGTAGAAGTGTGTGACTGAGGCACTGTGATTTTCATCTGATCACTTCCTTCCTCCTTACACACCTCCCCCTCTGTTTCCAAACCTCATGACTTTGTGTGCGGGAACCAGCAGCTCAGCACACCAGCGCCTAGAGCTTTCTATAACCCTGGGCCGGCTGGCCTTGCATAAGCTACCAGAGCTTAGCAGGAGAGAAATGCTTATCCAAAATGCTTTATTATTTTTGCAAGAAAAATTCCTTTATTGTGGTCATAGAATAATACAAGTTTATTGCACAAAATTGACAAAGTCAGAGGCACCTGGGTGGCTCAGTTGGTTAAGTATCTACCTTCGGCTCAGGTCCTGATCTCAGGGGGCAGTCTGCTTCTCCCACTCTCTCTGCCCCTCCTCCCACTTGTGCTCTCTTGCTCTCTCTCTCTCTCAAATAAATAACAAATAAAAATATTTAAGAAGACATTTAGGTCTTCCAGGAACCAAATGCTACAAAATATAATTAAAGATGCTGAGTACAGTAACATAGATACAAATATGTAAGACTAATATGACGGAGGACATGAGATATGTACGCAGTGAAAAATTATAATAGTTACAGTGTCATTAAAAAAATCAGTGAAGAGAAACTCCAAGTTCATGGATGGCGGTCTCACTAGAACATCGATGTCATTCTTCCTAAACTTATTTATATGATTCCAATCCACTGCCTCCCCATATTTTGGGTGGAAATTCATACATTGAGTGAAAATTAACATAGAAATAGAGAGGGCTACAGGAGGCCAGGGCTCCCCCCCATATAAGATTTATTTATTATTACTTTTTAATAGTAACCATGATTTCCAGGAGACTCTCCCATGGATTTACAAAGATTAATTGCTTTCACTGTTGGAAGCAGAATAATTGAGATAAGTGCATTTGGCTAGGAAAAGGGAAAAACATTTTGAGTTTAGATTCTAACAGCTGATTCCAATTTGGATTACTATTATTATTTTTAATTTCTGTGTATTTAACATACAGTCTTATATTAGTTTGAGGGGCACCAGACAGTGATTAATTCCGTACATTACTCAAGGTAAGTGTGCTCCTGATCTCCTTTATCTGTTTGACACCCCTCACCAGTCCCCACCACTGGCAACCACCTGTTTGGTCTCTATAGTTATGAGTCTGTTTTGGTTTGTCTCTTTTTTCCTTTGTTCGTTTGTTTTGTTTCTTAAACTCCACATAGTAATGAAATCATATGGTATTAGTCTTTCTCCGACTGGCTTATTTCACTTAGCGTTATACTCTCTAGATCCATCCATGTTGTGACGAATGGCAAGATTTCAGGCTTGTTTATGGCTGAGTAATATTCCATTGCATATATACACCACACCTTCTTTGTCCATTCTTCAATCAATGGGCACTTGGGCTGCTTCTGTAATTTGCCTGTTGTAAATAAGGCTGTAATACACATAGGGATGCATGTATCTTTTCGAATCAGTGTTTTTGTATTCTTTGGGTATAAACCTGGTGGTCTGGGTAACTCCATAAAGCTGATGTAGGATTAAATGTGCAAGAGAAATTGAGGAGGAAGATGGGAGCCTCCGGGAAAGTGGGTAGGCCTTGATTGATGGAGTCTGAGTCTGACTCTGAACAAAGGCAAGAAGTTAAGAGAAGCTGACTTTGCAGTCTAGAGAAGGTCAGCAAGACCAGTGGGGAGTCCTTTAGCCCCATGACTTGTCAGAGGAGCCCCATGTCTCCCAGGAACAGGGCTGCCTTAGTGCCCCTGCCCCACTGAGCAGCCCGTGTGCGGGGTGACTTGGCTGTCAGCGTGTGGATGGATTTGGAAGGACAGCAGCTAGGACTCCCTCTCCTGGGAGCTCCCTGGGCTAGGTGTCTTCTCGGGGTCGCCAGAGTGGGGAACGAAGATGCATTAAGACCATGCAGCAGTGATCAAGGGCATGATGAGATCCCGAGCAAGGACTAGGGTTCAAGTTCAGGCTCTGTCTCTTGCTTGCCAGGTGACCCCAAGCAATTGCCCTGACCTCAGTGTGTTATTATGGTAACAAGAATAAAACCCAACTCACAGGGATGCTGGAGACTTAAAAGCAGGAGTAGGAAGATGGACAAGCCCAAGACTTGGTCAGCCACTCGAGGTGACCGGTGACCCAGGTGACAAGAGCATGCTTGGTCCTGGATTGTTTTTTTTTTTTTTTTTTCGAGCCTTGTAAATGAAATGCTGGTTTTGGTACCAAGGATGAGACAGTGTAGCAATGTCTGATGGCCTAGTGTACTCTTGAATCCAGAGAGTCACCTTCTGGGACAGAGCTGTGGAATATATAGAAATCAAAGGTGTGCCACAGGGTATAATTTTAACATTTTTAGGAGCCGTGGTAAAAAGCAAAAAGAAACAGAGAAGTCTGCTTTGATTTAACTCAATATCTCAAAAAGTTTTGTCATTTCAACATGCAATCAGTATAAAACATGATCAGTTGTCAAGAATGTGAAATTCTTGGGGCACTTGGGTGGCTCAGTGGGTTTAAGGGTCTGCTTTTGGCTCAGGTTGCCATCCCGGGGTTCTGGGATCGAGCCCCGCATCGGGCTTTCTGCTCAGCGGGGAGCAGAGAGGGAGTTTCTCCCCTTCCTTCTGACTGCCCCCCACTCATGCTCTCTCTCTTTCTCTCAAATAAATAGTCTTTAAAAAAAAAAAAAAAGAATGTGACGTTCTTCTTTTTGGCGTGTGTGTGCTAAGTCTCTGAAACCAGGCATGTGTTTAACAAACTCCCCCCAGCACATCTGGAATTGGACCAGCTGCATTTCCAGTGTCCAGGGAGCCATGTGGGACTCAGGGCTACTGCATCAGACAGGGCAGTTCTGAAACTTCTCCCCCATAAATAATCAGAAATGTAGACAGGGGATGAATCAAAGAGGCCAGTCTTAGATCCTTCTGAAAGTTAGAAGGATCCAAAATGATCCGCTATTAAAAGTCAGTGCATGCAAACATCAGACCAGGAGGCAAGGATCCCAGAGCCCAGAACACAGTAGGTGCTCAATACATATTTCAAGTTGAATCGGTTTATATATGCACACCTATAATATGCAGATATATAGCTCTTGGCCATGGGACTTGCAGTTAATAAACACCCAACAGAGTATGTCCGCGGAAGTCCCTGAGGCAGCCTCCGCGGAGGAGCAGAAGGAAATGGAAGATAAAGTGACTAGTCCAGAGAAAGCTGAAGAAGCAAAATTAAAAGCAAGGTATCCTCATCTGGGACAAAAGCCTGGAGGTTCAGATTTCTTAAGGAAACGATTACAGAAAGGGCAAAAATATTTTGATTCTGGGGATTACAACATGGCTAAAGCAAAAATGAAGAACAAGCAGCTTCCTACTGCAGCTCCGGATAAGACAGAGGTCACTGGTGACCACATTCCCACTCCACAGGACCTTCCTCAACGGAAACCATCCCTTGTTGCTAGCAAGCTGGCTGGCTGATTAAAAGAGCTGAACTGCATGAGTCTTCTAATTCCCATTATTTCTCCTTAATATGTTACTTCTCTGCTTTTTATTTCCTTTCATTCACTAAGTCATTTGAGAATGACAGCTTTGCAGGTAGCGGTAGTGTGTGCTGCTATTGTAAGGGAATATTCGTGTGTAGAGTTTTGATTAGTTTTAACAGTGCACTGATAAAGAGAACATGTTAGAGCAACATAAAGTAATCTACTTGAAAATAGTTGTATATATTACCTAACTTCTAGTATAGGACTGATTGAACAAGTAACAAGCAAGTTTTACAATTGTAATCTTTTGGCTTTCTTTAATTCATCTTAATTATAGCTTTGTATGTTACTTTTATTTAATATAACCTTTATTGTATTGATTTCTTCTGTATTTTCCTTTTGGATTTTGTAAAACAGAAGTTTAAGACCACAAGTTGGAAAGAAGGTCACATTCTTCAAACAAAGATAGATGGGGTTTTGAAAGATTTGTTTCTCTGTGCTTGAACTTGAATGGCCTTAAACCTGTTTCAGCTTTAACAATAGATTTTACTTGGGCAATATTTGCCCATTCTGGTGTAACTTATGTGACAATAGAAAGCCTGAACAGACCCATAACCAGTAAGGAGATTGAAACAGTCATCAAAAATCTCCCAACAAACAAAAGCCCAGGGCCAGATGGCTTCCCGGGGGAATTCTACCAAACATTTAAAGAAGAACTAATTCCTATTCTCCTGAGACTGTTCCAAAAAATAGAAATGGAAGGAAAACTTCCAAACTCATTTTATGAGGCCAGCCTCACCTTGATCCCCAAACCAGACAAGGATCCCATCAAAAAAGAGAACTACAGACCAATATCCTTGATAAACACAGATGCAAAAATTCTCACCAAAATACTAGCCAATAGGATTCAACAGTACATTAAAAGGATTATTCACCACGACCAAGTGGGATTTATTCCAGGGCTGCAAGGTTGGTTCAACATCCGCAAATCAATCAATGTGATACAACACATTAATAAAAGAAAAAACAGGAACCATATGATACTCTCCATAGATGCTGAAAAAGCATTTGACAAAGTACAGCATCCCTTCCTGATCAAAACTCTTCAAAGTGTAGGGATAGAGGGCACATACCTCAATATTATCAAAGCCATCTATGAAAAACCCATCGCAAATATCATTCTCAATGGAGAAAAACTGAAAGCTTTTCCGCTAAGGTCAGGAACACGGCAGGGATGTCCGTTATCACCACTGCTATTCAACATAGTACTAGAAGTCCTAGCCTCAGCAATCAGACAACAAAAAGAAATTAAAAGCATCCAAATCGGCAAAGAAGAAGTCAAACTATCACTCTTCGCAGATGATATGATACTATATGTGGAAAACCCAAAAGACTCCACTCCAAAACTGCTAGAACTTGTACAGGAATTCAGTAATGTGTCAGGATATAAAATCAATGCACAGAAATCAGTCGCATTTCTCTACACCAACAACAAGACAGAAGAAAGAGAAATTAAGGAGTCCATCCCATTTACAATTGCACCCAAAACTATAAGATACCTAGGAATAAACCTAACCAAAGAGACTAAGAATCTATACACAGAAAACTATAAAGTACTCATGAAAGAAATTGAGGAAGACACAAAGAAATGGAAAAATGTTCCATGCTCCTGGATTGGAAGAATAAATATTGTGAAAATGTCTATGCTACCTAAAGCAATCTACACATTTAATGCAATTCCTATCAAAGTACCATCCATTTTTTTCAAAGAAATGGAACAAATAATCCTAAAATTTATATGGAACCAGAAAAGACCGCGAATAGCCAAAGGAATATTGAAAAAGAAAGCCAGAGTTGGTGGCATCACAATTCCGGACTTCAAGCTCTATTACAAAGCTGTCATCATCAAGACAGCATGGTACTGGCACAAAAACAGACACATAGATCAATGGAACAGAATAGAGAGCCCAGAAATAGACCCTCAACTCTATGGTCAACTAATCTTCGACAAAGCAGGAAAGAATGTCCAATGGAAAAAAGACAGCCTCTTCAATAAATGGTGTTGGGAAAATTGGACAGCCACATGCAGAAAAATGAAATTGGATCATTTCCTTACACCACACACGAAAATAGACTCAAAATGGATGAAGGACCTCAATGTGAGAAAGGAATCCATCAACATCCTTGAGGAGAACACAGGCAGCAACCTCTTCGACCTCAGCCGCAGCAACATCTTCCTAGGAACATCGCCAAAGGCAAGGGAAGCAAGGGCAAAAATGAACTATTGGGATTTTATCAAGATCAAAAGCTTTTGCACAGCAAAGGAAACAGTTAACAAAACCAAAAGACAACTGACAGAATGGGAGAAGATATTTGCAAACGACATATCAGATAAAGGGCTAGTGTCCAGAATCTATAAAGAACTTAGCAAACTCAACACCCAAAGAACAAATAATCCCATCAAGAAATGGGCAGAAGACATGAACAGACATTTCTGCAAAGAAGACATCCAGATGGCCAACAGACACATGAAAAAGTGCTCCATATCACTCGGCATCAGGGAAATACAAATCAAAACCACAATGAGATACCACCTCACACCAGTCAGAATGGCTAAAATTAACAAGTCCGGAAATGACAGATGCTGGCGAGGATGCGGAGAAAGGGGAACCCTCCTACACTGTTGGTGGGAATGCAAGCTGGTGCAACCACTCTGGAAAACAGCATGGAGGTTCCTCAAAATGTTGAAAATAGAACTACCCTATGACCCAGCAATTGCACTGCTGGGTATTTACCCTAAAGATACAAACGTAGTGATCCGAAGGGGCACGTGCACCCAAATGTTTATAGCAGCAATGTCTACAATAGCCAAACTATGGAAAGAACCTAGATGTCCATCAACAGACGAATGGATAAAGAAGATGTGGTATATATATACAATGGAATACTATGCAGCCATCAAAAGAAATGAAATCTTGCCATTTGCGACAACATGGATGGAACTAGAGGGTATCATGCTTAGCGAAATAAGTCAATCGGAGAAAGACAACTATCATATGATCTCCCTGATATGAGGGAGAGGAGATGCAACATGGGGGGTTAATGTGGTAGGAGAAGAGTAAATGAAACAAGTTGGGATTGGGAGGGAGACAAACCATAAGTGACTCTTAATCTTACAAAACAAACTGAGGGTTGCTGGGCAGAGGGGGGTTGGGGGGGGGTTATGGACATTGGGTAGGGTATGTGCTATGGTGAGTGCTGTGAAGTTTGTAAACGTGGAGATTCACAGACCTGTACCCCTGGGGGAAAAAAAAATATATATATATGTTTATAAAAAATAAAATTATAAAAAAAATAAATAAATAAACACCCAACACATGGTATTTACTGATCTTTTTATTGTTATTGATGATAAATTGGACAGCAGGCCCCTCACCAGGAACACAGAAGAAAGTTAAGGCTCTCTGGTTGTCTCCCAGAGATGATGGTCAGAGACCAGGCTGGGGCAGGTAGGGCTGCAGGGAAATCACTGCTGAGAGGAGGAGGAGCACAGAACAGGGGAAGGGTGGGAGTCAGGAAGCCTGCATCCCCGTCTCAGGTCTGACACCAACTCACTGTTGGGGATAGGAGTCGTCTTCTGCCCTCTGGATCAAGGGACCTCCCCCGACCTCTGAGATGAGGGGGCAGGCCTGGATAATTCTGGAGCCCTTCCCCGTAAGGCTCACTGGTGCTCAGAGGATGGCACACGCCCAGTCATCTTCCTTCGGGGCAGTGGACGGCATCATGCCTTTGCTGAGGCTCCTCCCAGCAGCTACAGGGTGCCATCCATAAGCCTGGGGAGAATACATCCTCTGCTCAAAGATTGCCCAGCTGTCCTCCATGTCTTCCGCAAGCTGAAAGTGTAAAGCACAGGATCACCTGGGAGAACCGATCCTTCCACCTCGGCGCTGGGTCTCCGTGAGCAGTTAGGGTGCGTACTGTGAGACAGGGTCCCCGGATCCCTCTTGAGGAAGGATAAAGAAGTCTCAGCTGCTGGGGCAGGGGTCAGCAGACAGATGCCAGCAGTCAGCCCCTTGAGACTTGACTCGACTACAGAGAGCCCCACGTTCAAGGCTATGCCCCTTCCTGACTTGCCCACATGCAGGGACGGATCTGACCACCTGCAGACCGGGGCAGGGCAACTCTGAAGTTCACTCCCTGCGTGGGCACAGGGAGAGCCGAGCACGGGGGCGCCGAGCACTGGCGTTAGAGTCCACTCACTCCAGATCCCAGCTCTACCGCTCCCTAGATAAATGTCCTGGAGCAGGTAACTTCATGTCTCCGAGCCTCCTTTTCTCGTATGTAAGATTGGGAGTAGTACACACACACCTCAAAGGGTGTTGTGATGATTTAATGAAATAAGGGAGCATTTAGGACAGAACCTGAGCCCGAAGCAAATATTCAGTAAGTGGTGGTTGTTATGATTTATTCTTATTCATAGAGGAATGAGCCCGCTGGGGCTGCGGACGGAGCTGCCTCTGGCCAGGGTCATGTTAACTGAAGAGCAAAGTCTGGACAAGGGATATGCACGTCCCAGGAAGCCTCTGAATGGGGCCAAGATGAGGGAAACTATGGAGCACAGTCCGGGACCCTATGGATATGAGTTTGAGCAGAGAACACTTTCTCTGGAGAGAATGAAGGTCACTTGACCGCTCTAAGCCTGTTTCGTCACCTGGGACATGGGGAGAGTAGGACACGCCTATCTCAAGGGACACGATGGGAGATTAGAGATGGGACAAAACATGCGAAATGCTCCGCCCAGGACTTAGAACATAATGAGAGGTCAGTACACGCCAGATAATGACCATAGTCATTTACCAGTACATTAGAATGCATCAGTCTCACATGCCCCATGCTGTGTAGAGGGGGTGGGTGGGGGATGACAGGGAGGAAGCAGAAGGTCTCACAGGCACGTCCCAGGAGCCCACTGGAGACCCATCTCCTTTCTTAAAGCATGGGTAGCTCAGCCAGGCCCTGGCCTCGTCTGCCAGCCGCTGCCAGGGGTATGGGTCTCTACCCGCCACATTTCCCGTCGGGTCAGCCGGGTCCAGAATCACAGGCCTGGAGAGAAACAGTGAGAGAGGGATGGGTGACAAACCAGGGCCCTGTCTGGGGGATTCAGAAACTCCCTGTAGGGCAAAACACCAGCCTGGCACAGGCTGGGACTCAGGACAGGAGCGGGATGCTGTTCCCTGGGGCGTTAGTCTTACAGCAAGGTCTTAATCCTCAGGAGCAATTAGGATCATCGCTCTAGCTGTTGGTATTTTAGTTCAAATTTTGGCTCTTCCACTTATTTTCTGGTAAGCATAGCTCCTTACCCCTCAGAACCTCAGTTTACCCATCCGTACTGTAGGTATGGAGAGGCAGGCCTCACAGGGTTGGAGGCTGTTTTTTAAATCAGATGGCAGCAGGAAAAGGCTCAGCACAAAGGCTGGCCATGGCAAAG